AGTGGCGATAGATCTGAAGTGACTATCTGAATCAAATTATCAGGCGAGCAGAGCAGAGCACTTGATCATATATAGCAATGCGGACAGCTGAGTTGATTAGAAAGCTGAACAGGGTTTGTTAAAAGAAGGGAACAAGACTAAAAGAATAGGCCTCAAGCGAGTAGGAATCATCAGCTTAGCAGAAGCACGTCTGATTCTGGAGCAAGGCTTGACCTAGAGCTAGCAGGCGAAGCAATGGCGGCTCTGCAGGCACAAGGGATAGGACGACCTGTAGGACAGACAGAGATAGAACAGACTGGCGAGCGGTAGCGGACTTTGTACTGGCAGCGACTGGCAGAGTTGCTGCTTGAGCCAGGAGAGACACTCAAGAGTCGGTCACCAAAAGCCTAGAGACTGAGCGATCAAGTGGATTTCGAATAAGCTCTGCCTGCAGGCACGAATAGTTGTGTTGAAGTGCTAATGGCTATGCGCGAGGCGTAAGGCCTTGGCTTTATGGCGGAAAGACTGATAATAATGGCATATCAAGTCAATAATAAAATTTGCAATAAAAAGCCAAGGCGATCGGAGCTAAAGCCCGAGCAGCAACAACAAATGGAGCTGAACTATTTGCGCGGAACGTGGACTTATGCTAATGTGCGGCGGCTGCTGCTGTCGGGCGGGCAGACTCCAGTCTCCCGGGCTCATAAACAACAGCGAGCATAAATCTCAGTATGCCGCCCAGCCAGAAGCAGCCCAGCAGCAGCAGCAGTAACAACAAAAGACAAGGAAAAAATACTGTGAGCAACAAGAAAAACGGGAATCTCGGCGCCGCGGTGTCGTCGTCGTTGTTCTCGCTTTGATTTATTTGCCAACGTGCACAACGCTGCGTATGCGTATTTTTTCTTTTAGCTGAAGAGAGCGCGAGTGGCTGAGAGGCTGAAAGCTGTGAGATGGCAGGCTCATATCAATGACAGCAAGCGAATCGACTTTGCATTTAAAAGTAAATTATGTCACACATTCGCATACGCATTCAGATTCAGATTCAGCTTCAGCTTCAGCTTCACATTCGTATTCGCATTGTTTATTTATATTCGAGTGAAGGTTTTTTTGAAGCTGTCAAAAAGGCAAAACACAAACAGTCGGACGCACGGACGGATGGAATCTATTTGCATAATTTTTTGAGCAAGCTGCGTGCGCGGGTCTTGCGGGATAACAGAAACTAAAGCAACAACAAGCCGGGGATAATCAGTTCTAAAGCAGCTACAAATTTAAATATGCTTTCACATAAGCAATTTAATGTTTGCACGTGCCACAAAAGTCAATCGCTTGTTTATGCCAGAACAAACAGAACTAGGCCAGCAGTTGCCGCACACAGCGCTCCAGCGATGGGGGCGAAACAGTCAAAGTTTTTTATTTCAACTGAAACGAGGGCTTAAAGTTAAGTACACATGTCTGTCATATTACACACAGACATAGAGAGAGAGAGCGGGAGAGTGGAAGAGAGAGAGATTATGAGTGGAATTTGCTGAAATGTAAATAGATTAGTTGAAAATTAATTGCGGGCTCTGGGAATTGGAATTTTGAAGAGTTGATATTTTGGGCTGATAGATTCCAGCGCAGAGCAGACCAAATGCATACAAATTAGACTGAAAGCCATAAGAGTTAGACTAGAGCCTATACAGTTAGCGGTCTGTTGGATATATTCTAAAATCAATTCCAGGCCAAAGTCATAAGCCATTCGACTTTACTAACCAGACTATGCTTTACCTGGCTAAAACTGAAACGAAAATAATTTGAAATTAGTTCTGAATGTAGCCCAATAAGAAACTAGACTTGACTTACGATCAGCTTGGCCTTACAAGGCTAAGCGAGCCTTTGACTAGGATTACAGCAAGTTCACTATCATCCGAAAAGTAAAGCCTGCGGCTTTGTTTACGTTGAAACATTAAGTCTAAGGCTCTGCCGTACTTTAGATATTTCCTTAAAGCTGATACTCTGCTTAAGCAAACTTTGTTAGTTGTATCGATTTGTATCGATTTCACATAAACAAGTTATCGATACTGCTGAGCCAACTTAGTCTGCGCTTGCTACAGAAGAAAGTTTGTGCCAAGCCACGTCTGTGGCTCTTAATGGTCAAGGCAGGTCTAGATTGTCCTAGGCCCAGACTGTTCCTGATGAAGTATATAGTATAGTATATAATATATAATACATAGCTCATGCCGTCAGCTATGCCAAGTGCTGCCTCTAGCAAACATTTTATGCCCCGATTAGGCTTCGACTTAAGAACTTCAATTCGCTTTTCTATCAGACAAATTCTCACTTGACTTAAGCAAAACAATAGGCAAACAGCACGAAAAGTGAAAGAGCTGCGACTATCTAGACGGCGTCATCTATTTAGGCTTAAGAAGAAGAAGAAGAAGACAAAGAAACCTTTGCAGAACCCACATCAAGCAAGAAATTTGTTGGCCAGTTTAAAGATCTCGACATGGAAATCTGACATTTTGATTTGCGGCAATATTCCTGTGTCTCATGGACATAAACAAGCACATGTATGTACATATATGCATGTATATGTATGTGTGTGTGAGCATGTGTGTATGTGTAGATATGTTTGTGTGTCGTGCTTTTTTTTTTTTCTTCTTACACGCGCGAAGTGTGTAAGCCACGCAGCTTTTTATTTGCCCAAGTTGCTTTTCCGCGTTGTTTGTGTTTAATTATGGATAAGTGTGCGTGTGTGTGTGTGTGTGAGAGTGTGTCTGTGTCTGTGTGTGTGTTTACATATGTGCGTTGTGTTATTATACAAGGCGCTTACATTGTTATTCTCGTTATTGTATAGCTTTCTCTGACTCTCTCCTTCTCTCTCTCTCGCTTCTGCTCTACTCGCTCTTTGGCTCTTAGTTACTTGTGTTTTCTCCTGGCCTTTTCGGCTTGTTTAACATTTGAAATTCATATTCAAACACACACACACACACACAGACACATCTAGAGCTTGTCTTGGGGCCAACTTCCGTTTCCGGTTTGTAAACAAATGGCGCCAGCGAACGATTAATTATTGTTGATTTCGTTGCCTTTGTCCATGCTTGTGGCAGGACACGTGCCGCAGTCGACGCCGCACCCCCTAGGACCGGTTCGTCGCGTCGGTTCAATCCTAAACTCTGGAAACACAAACAATTTCCTGCATTAGCACTGATAAATCGTTTGTTAAATATTTGAACTACTTTGGGTCGCGCCATAGAGATTATGAATTACTTAATTATGTCATGGTGATTATCGATTTATCGATAGTACATAAAATAATTATTGGGCTAGGATTGGAATGGGCGTGGCTAAGTTATTGGATGCGCCCATGTAGCTTAACAATTTTAGAATTTTACAATCATTTCTCGATAGTTTTTTTTTGCATTCTATCGATTTATCGATAACCCATCTGTTTAGATTAGGCCAAGGATTGATGAGGGTCTATGGGTCTAGCCTGTAGTCTTACATGTATTTGTAATTGACTTGACATACATGTATCGACTTATCGATAAATATGATCAGATTTGGACAACTACTAAAGAGTGGATAGTTGACTTATTTTTGATTGAATCTGTCCAATTTGGTATTTAATAATCATTTGTGGATACTTATCGGAGTTTATCAATTTATCGATTTATCGATAGCCCATATCATTAGATTGACGAGGAAGTAATCGACTTGCTTTTATCTACTTGCCTCCTGATGCATTTTACGCCCATTGGCTACGTTTATCGATAACAAAATATTAAAATTCGCACAAAACTCGATAATTTGTGCAATCGATAACATCAAGTTTAACAATTTGCTTATAGAATTCATATGATTTGCTTTCATATGATTATTGGAATTTGCATATACTCTAATTACATCTGTAGACGTGCCATCGATAACATTTCAGCCCCATTGCCAATTGTTATCGTTCGTTAATTAACTGTGCAACTGCCATAATTTGCAGTCATATTTTTGTAAGCGTTAATTGTTATTATGCAAATTGTTATCACTGTTTATTTGTACGACAACAATTACATTTTCGGGCTTAATCGCTTATCGTCTATCGATAAATTTTTAATTAACGCTGCGGACAGGCGAATTAGCAAATGCGAATGCCATTTTAAGTAGCTTAATGCCTTTCTCTATTCGCATTGTTCCTGTGGCCTATCAATAAACCAGTTTTCGCACAATTGCTGTGTGTGTGCCTGTGAGTGTGTGAGTGTGTGTGCGTGTGTGCCTGCCTCTGTGTGTTTCAGAAGCCACAACGTGGCACTTTTTTGGCAAGTTAATGTGTTATACTTAGGTGCCTCGCACACGTGCGCATGCACATACATGTGCGGGTCGTAATTAATGATTGAACACACTCACACACACACACACACCCACACACATGCACACATAAGCACACGCACTTCCTCTCACACAAACTCAAACTTTTGCCTAACAAGCGCCTGCTCTGAAAAGTATGCTACAATTTACGTTGTGGGCAACAAATATGCTGCTCATTATTTTTAGAGCTACGCACAGCCCACACACACACACACGCACGCACACAGACATAGGTGCGCACACCACACGCATATAAATTATGTTTGGGCTTCATTATGCCAACTGCTTTTATGACCCAGGCCAAGAGTGTGTGCTCGTCTGTGTGTGTGTGTGTGTGAGTGTGTGTGGGTGTGTGTGTGTTGTGCCTCTATGTGTGTTTGGCATATTTCGGCAGACGCCGCATTAAAAATCAATTCACAAACTTTGCACGTAGCTTCAAGTGAAGTGTGTGCCGCATGTGTGTGTGTGTGTGTGGGAGTGTGTGTGTGTGTGTGCGTGTGTTTCAAGTGTGTTTTGTGTGCAACAGCAACAGCAACAGCTTTTTATGCGGCTTTGATGAAGCAGTCGCTGCTGTGGCTGCTAACTGACTAATATATAGTCTCTCTCTCTCTCTCTCTCTTTCACCCGCTCTTACTATCACGCTCACTCACTCTGTCTCTCTCTGTTTCTTTTGCTCATTATAGGCAGTCAGTCAACATGGAATGACCCAAGCTGCTTGTGCTGGAACACACACGTTGTCGGAAGATGCTGCAACAGCCAACAGCAGCAACAGCAGCAACAGCAACAGCAGCAACTGAAGTGGCAACAGCAGCAGCAACAATTGCTGCAACAGCTGCAACAGGCAATGGGCAGCGACGTCGCGTGGCAGCTAGCGACAGCTGCAGCACTTACAATAAAAGCAACAACAAACTAAAGCCACAGCCAATGCATTCCAACGAGGAGCCGCCGACGTCGGTGATCGTCGACGGCGGCAATCAGCAGCAGCAGCAAAAGCTGCGACGCAGCGCCAGCGCCAGCGGCAGCAGCGGACAGCAGCAGCGGCTGCGCAAGACTAGTTCATGCAGTGCCAGTGCCAGTGCCAAGGCCACGCCCACGCCGCACACGCGCCGCCCACACAGACAGCATTCAAATGCCTCCGACTCGATGCACAAGCAACAGCAGCAACAGAAGCAACAGGAGCCACAGCAGCAACAGCAACAGCAACAGCAACAATCGCGTCGTTATCAGCCAGCTGGACGCGCTAGCAGCAAGGAGCGCACTGAGGCGGCGCGTAGGCGTGGCACACGTCGTCACAGCGGCGCCTCCACGCTGAGCGAGGCAACGGCTGGCGCAGCCCAGCGTCGCACACGCGACACGGCCCGAGACTCGGCCGGCAGCTCCTCGACGGCATCCAGCTGCAACGGCAGCTGCAGCTCCGACGATGGCGACTCAACGCATTCGTCCTCCTCCTCGTCCAGCTCGTCGGGCGAACCGAATCTGCCCTACCCAGGCTTCCCAGAGATTGCCATGAAGGCGCTCACACAATACACACGGCCGCGCAACTGGTGCCTGATGCTCATCACCAATCCATATCCTTTTTTAAACAAAACACATGTGCCACATATACCTAGGGCTGTCCTTCCTGCTGTGTCCTTGCACCCAATAGATACATACTCATGTTATATATGTAAAGCCGTATATATATATAGAGCTATATCGCAGTTGCGGCCTATTGATTTTTAGTGTCTGCTCGTGTCTGCTGGGAGTTACGTTTTTAAAGGTACATCTGAAATTCAGGCTAGCAAGCTGTACCGACTGAGTGCTACCCTGAAGCCGAGCTTAGCAATAATGGTGACAGATGACGAAATAGTTGAGTACTCTCCTGGTCTGTATGCAACGGATAAGCAAGGGCAAGGACTGACAAGCAGGACGTCCAAAGGACGGACAAGCAGAAGGACGTCCAAAGGACGTACAAGCAGAGGGATGTCCAAAGGATGGACAAACAGAGGGATGTCCAAAGAACGGACGGAAGATAAAGCAGACAGAGCGGTTGAACGATCCGACAAACAGGCGGACAGATGGGCGAACGGACAATCGGACAGTCGGACAGCGGCAAGGACACATAGGCAAGACAGACATACAAACGGTCTTACAGGTCGCGCTAAATCAACTCGACAATTGATCTTGATCAGCAGACTTTAAGGCTTAGACGACTTCCAATGTCAATGATATCTACATAAAATATTTGATTGAAGCTCTATTAAATACCCTATATTATTATATGCTCTATAGATATATGTATCCCACACTGGATGGGTCTACTACTGCAGGTAGCCTGGGCAACGAATAGCAATTGAGTTAGCTCGGTATATGTATACATATGTTTATGATTCAAAGACTGTACTTAAGATGACCTTCTTTGCTCTTAGTCAAACTACCCACATTCGCGGCAGCAGCCAGTGCAGGGTATAAGCTGCCTGTGAGCCTTGAAATATTTGCGTTTTATTTATTCATTTTTTTTTCATACTCGCCTGCCTGTTGCAAAATATATGCCTACATATAAACACACACACGTGTGTGTGTGTGTGTGTGTGTATCGCATAAATAACATATATCGGCGTAGCGGAAGACGCTGCCCGAGTTGCCAATCGCCATTTGCAGTCGCTGCTTCCTGTTCTGACATTTCTGTCCTTGCTTTTCTCTCTCTCTCTCTCTCTCTCTCTGCCTTTTTTGCGCCTTGTCATTTGCAGTTGTTCTTCTTCTACTGCTTCTTCCTGACTGTTGTTGTCGCTAGGGGATAATGTGCGGCAATCAGTGTCCCGTCGCCTGGCCCGCCCTCTGCGCTCTGCGCTCTGCTCGTGACAGGCAGCGCGCGCGCGCCTCTGGCATGTGCATGAAAAATCGCTTTGCATACTTTCGGGCGCACTTCACATTTAATTTAACCTGAAATTAAAATTGACTGACGTTGATATTTAAGACGAACACACTTCATACATTAAACTCAGCCACTCAGCCCACATGGCCAACAGATGCTCTGCCTTTAAGTGCTTTCTTATGCAGTCAGCTCTGCTTCAGGACCACAGGAATTAACCGCGTTGTTCCAAGCAATCGAAAGATAATTAAATGAAATTGCTCTAGTCGTAGCATCAAGCACAGATCAGAATATATATATATATATATATTAATAAAGTTAGGACATATCAAAGCAAGATCTGAGTCCGTTCATCGCAGCAAATCCAACTTTGCTGGCCCTAGATCTGATGGTCTTCGAGCTGAGCTGAAAATCGATTTGTGACTATCGATAATGGCTAAATGAGATGAGTTAGCGAAAATAAATTGATAAAAAGAACATTTTATTTTAGATTTAAGGTTTCTAGCTTTGCTAGCTAAGGATATCTTTGCAGATGGACAGACATGCCTATACTAACTGAGCTAATTCAACTGATTAAGCAAAGATTTACGTGGACTTTCCACTTTAGCCTTAACTAAGCTGCTGCCGAAGCTGAGCTCTAGCACTTCGAGTTCAAGTTGATCTTAGTTTTCGCAGTGAACATTTGAGTCGCAATCAGTTGGGAACTCGACAGCAGTTCTAATTGGATTTAGTGTTAAGATATGCATAATTTAGTCAGCCCAAATGCAAGTGCTTCCTACTTCCTTAAACTTTTCTATTTCGGATATTTGCTATGAAGGCTGTTGTTGGCTTCGCTGTCGGCAACTGTCGATTGCCACAAATAGATTTTGAGCCGAAACTATTTATTGCATTTGCCCATTTTCCGACTTTTCCGGACATCTTTGTGGCATCTCAATTGCCATTTCCTGTCATTTTCCGTTGTTGCTGTTGCCCAGATTTCTAAACGAGACACACAGAGACTGAGGAAGACAGAGATACCCAGTGCCAATTACCAGCTGCCAGCTGCCAGCTGCCAGCTGCATTGCTCAGTCAGCTACAATAACACGATAATCGCACCCTTGACGCCCCTTAGCTAACCCCTTTGATAAGTTTCTCGTGCGCTTGGCCTGGCCCACTTAATTGTTGGCTATAAATTTTGATTTTGTCATTGTTCTACTGTCCCTTGGGCAATATCTTGGGCGAGTTTCGCAAAGTTTTTCCTGCTACTGCCACTGCAGCTGCTAGCCTTCCCTTATCAATTATTGTTGATCGGATTGCAACGTTTTGTTGCAGTCAGCGTGGCGTCTCGATTCAATTGGCATTGCTCATAATCAATTTCATAACTACATTAAGAGCGACCCTAAACTAATTTCGAGTTGAAAACTTTACTGCTTCGCCTCGTCTACGTGGCGCTGCTCAATGCCACTTGCAACATAAAGGACAAACAAGGCGACAGAGAGAGAGAGAGAGAGAGGGAGACAGGGAGAGAGGATGAACGTGCGAGGTCAACTGAGCCATTTGCCAAAAAGTGTGAACATCGCCTTCAAGTCGCCAGCTTTAACATCTCTAATTCTCCTTTCCCTCGCCTCTTATCCCATCTTTTATCTCATCTCTTTTTGAGTCAAACTCTATCTCCTAGTTTAGCTGTATTTTTGTCATCTGTCCCATCTCTGCTCTCTCTCACCTCGTGCATCTATCTTCTTTCATGCAGAAGAGATTCTGTCTTCTCTCAACTCTCATCTCATTTCCCTCTCTCATTTCTCATGTCTCATCTATCATCTCTCTTCTGTCATCTCTCATCTCTCTTCTCTCATCTCTCATCTCTCATCTTTCATCTTTCATCTTTCATCTTTCATCTTTCATCTTTCATCTTTCATCTTTCATCTTTCATCTTTCATCTTTCATCTCTCATCTCTCATCTCTCATCTCTCATCTCTCATCTCTCATCTCTCATCTCTCATCTCTCATCTCTCTTCTCTCTTCTCTCTTCTCTCATCTTTCTTCTTCCATCTCTCATCTCTCATCTCTCGTCTCCTATCTGTCTTCTCTCTTATCTCTTCTATGATCCCTCACCTCGCTCATCTCTCTTCTCTTCTCTCATCGCTGTCTCCTTCTCCCTCTCTCTTTTTAATTTCTTTCCTCGCAATCAGAACACGGAGCTGATTTGCCGCAGCGCGGGCAGTCGCCGTTGGGGCCATTTTGGGGCACGTCGTACACATCATTAGCATGCGAGCAAAGTAATGCGATATCCACGCCCACAACTAATTATGGCATCTACTTAATAGCAATGAATCGCAGCGCAATCTCATTAGCCCTGCGCCCCAGCCGAGCCCCGCTCTGACCTCGCTGATTGCTGAGTGCTTGATATTACATTACATGCCTTCATCGATAGCTCCGATGGCAGCTCCCATTCGCATCGGGGCCAACAGGTGGCTGAGTGGATCCGTGGTTTGGCGGCTCACCTCGTGGCATGCCAATTATTTGTGTTTTCCAGAGCACAACAGGGAAAATTGATATCAATTAGTCAAAGGCGGAGCTACTGAAGCCAATAATTAGGCAGTCATCGATAGGCAAGGTGGCAATTTTGTATGCATATCGAAAAGCAAATTCGTTTAAGTGCAAGTTCAAGAGTTAACTTCTTGCTTGAAGTCAAAGTTCAGCCGTTGTGGCATTTACAAGTCTTCTATACAACAGACGGAAAGGCATTCAAATCGATAAGTATCGATAGCAGCGAAATATCGTGTTTATGTGTTCAGTCTGTTAACACTCGTTCAAACCTTTTTTTATGTATAGACTCATATCTTCCCTTATGTTAAGGCCTTGGGGTTTTTTCTATAAGCCCATTGAAGGCGTAGCAAATGGGGCATGACTACAGCCCATTTATCGAAGCTGGAGACTTGAAATTTAGAATTTAAGCTTGGACTGTACCAACCTTCTTGTTCTACTACATCTTTATCTTTATTCTTCTTCTTGAACTTTGTCGTCTTATTCCTCTTTCTTTATATTTCTCATCTAAATATTGTTTTTCTTCTTTATCTCATTCTTCTCCTTCATTTTTCGTTTTCTGACTTTTATTCTTTCTCCCGTTGTGCTCTTCTTCTCTATACAATTCTTCTTCTTTTTACTCTTTGTTTTTGGTTTTCTGATTCTTTTTCATCTTCTGCTTCTGCTTTTCTTCTACTTTTTCTTCTTCTTTTTCTTCTTCTGCTTTCATCATCTTCTCTTCTTTCATCTTCTTTCTTCTTTAGCTCAACTCATAATTGTAGACTTGCTCTATACACCAGAACTGATTGACAAATAGCGTAAATTAAAATCTAATTGGAATTTATTCTTTCCTATTGGAACTTCTCTCATGTAAGCCATATACCTATGAGAGTTTCGCATCTCCTTTAAGCTGACTCTTTATAGACTTCACTTCACACCTGTGCCCAATTATCACCTGCAAATAAGCCACACAAATTGCCAGCACATTTGCATTCAAATGAAGGCGCGCTCTGCCCCACGCTGCCCCACTCTGCCCCACTTTCTCTTTCTTTCCACTTCTCTTTTTTTTGTATTTGATAAAAAATTTCAATTGAATTGGCAAGTTTTTTGGGCCTGCGTTTGCCACGTTGCCAATTATTTCGGGCTCTGGCTCGCACACACTCTCGCTCGCATTTTCCTTTGATTCGTTACCTTTTCGACTCCTTTCATTTGATTTGGTTTTTTCATCATCTTCTGCTTCTCTTCTTCAACTTCTGCTCGCTGCTCGCTGTGTTCACAAATTATTCGTGTCCACTCGACTGCAGCGGCTCAACGCTCGATGCTCGGCGTTCGACTTTTTTGTTTGCCCGTCTTTTAATTTGTTGCGATTTTTGTACGCTCGCATGCACACACACACACACACACACACACACACAGAGAGTGAGAGAGAGGCTCTGGCTGGGGCCATTTGCTGGCCCACTTTACGCTCGACTTAATTTGTTTACTGTTGGTTTGGTGGCCTTTGCCAACGTCGACGCTGCGCGCCAAATCAAAAATAATGGCAGCTCATGGACCCCAGCCCCCGTCAACCCCTTCTCTCGAGTGGGGGCGAGTGCGAGAGAGAGAGGCCGCAACGTTGTGTCGCATATTTGTGCTGCTGCAATATTTATACAACGTTCCACCAAATGCTCAGCCTCTCAGCCTCTGCCACTGACACGCCTCGTTCCGCCCAAAACTTTTACACACACTGCGCTGACCTCTACGCTCTATGTGCGCGCGCTTTATACATTGGTTTTTATGACACTGGCCCGACCTGACCTGCATATGCCATCCATTTAACCCGCTCGCGCCGCTCGCAGCGCTCCTAATGAATTGCAAGGACCCCAAACGATTGTCCTTTTATTTGTTTATATATATGTGCACATCGTTGCTGCCGCTGCTGCTGCTGCTCCTTTTGTGTGCCGTTTTTATCTTTAATTGTGCGTTAATAGCGTAAACATTTTGTGCATTGTATTTTGCTGCCTCGTCCTTGGCGCGCATTTGGCATGCATTAAGCGCCCCATTGAAATCCTTTCGCCGTTGTCCTTGGCTTTGTGTATTGAAAACACGCGAAACGCAACCGATTTCGCATGTCGAGCAAATATTTGGCCAGTCCGCGGGCTATTTGCAGCTGTCGTCAGTGCGAGCAGCCAGCAGAGAGAAGCTTCGAGTGAAGTGTTTGCTTCTTATATTGCTTCTCTCTTGCTTTCCCTAACATACTTGCTTTTAGCTCTTTCGATTGGCCTCACTTACACCTTCTCTCTAGCTTACCCTTGTCTCCTTTGCTTCTCACTTTACCTCGGGCTTCATTCTTCTTTTTGCTTCTTTCATTTACTATTTTCTTTGTGCCTTGCTTGTCGTTTGTTTTCTCACATCGCTTCTCGCTTCACCTATACTATTCCTTTCTCTTATTCACTCTAGATTTGCTACTCAAGCTTTTCACTTTAATGCTCAGTCAACTTCTTCTTTCGCTCCTTCTCTTATTTCAACTTCATCAGGCTAAACATTGAGCTTCTCACTTTGCTTCTCTCTTACCTTACTACATTTATATTTCTATTTGATTTGCATTCGGTTTCTGACTCGGCTCATCGAACGACTTCTGTTTTGAGGTTCTTCAAGTTTCTCTCTGCAATCTTTAACTTGTTCTATTCACCTTTCGCTTATTCCTCTGCGCTTTCCGTTTGTTCATTCCATTGCAATACCCTTCAAACTGAACTTCTCTCTCCCTCTCTCGCTTGCAGTTCATCATTTGGTGCGCTTCTCCCTGGACTTTATATTGCGACACTGACATATGTGCCCCAAGCTAACTACGTCTTGCTTCGCCATAATCTCTAAGGCAACTGCAATATGCGTTGCTTCGTGCTGCAGCTGCAGTTGAACTGTGTCGAAAAAGCAGCCACAGCCATCCATCAGGCCATGGATGCTAATGCCAATGTTTTCATGGACTCAAGCTTTGGCTGTATTAACAGTCATTTGCCTTTGAAGCAGACTTCAGATGCTGATGGAGTGAGCTGTTCACATCAAGCCGAGACTGGCCCGGACCGTGCAGTGACTGTGCCGTCGTGGCTAATATGCTGGCTAAAAGGCTTACAGAAGTTCTTGCAACATTGCATTATAATGCCACTGGCTGGCTGGTTGGCTGACTGAATGACTGAATGACTGAATGACTGACTGAGTGACTGTCATCAATTTGTGTCATTTCTTTTTGCCACAAAACGCACACAAAGCAAGCGCGCGGGAGCGGAACAGACGCAGAAGTTGTTGCAAAAATAAGCAGCAATGGCAGCACGTCGAGTACAAAATGCAGCCAAGTTGACAAGCACTTGAGTGCGCATTAGAGGCGATAGTAAACAGCTATCTGCCATCCTTGTGCCTGGTGCCTCGTGGCTTGCGCCACAATTCTGTCAGCTTTGCGTGGCATGCCTTAAAAACCGAGGGGCAGCATAGCTGAGGGCGTGCAACCGATTGGGCGCTCGACATGTTTTGCTTAAATCAGCACACAAAAGCAGTCAACAGGCAGGCAATCGCTATGCAAACTAATCTCTCGATGCTCTGTTTCTATCTAAAAAATACTTCTCAAAGTGCGAGGCTCGAGAGCTAAACAGTTGCATCTGGCAAAGGCACACGAGTCTGTTTTAAGGCAGCTGTTTGAGCTTATCAAGCTTCTCTCTTAGTTTTAGCTTGATAAAGTTTCTTTCACAAACTACTTCCCCAATTCCATGATGATGATACTTAACACTTCGCTTCTCTCTTTCCGCATACTTCTTTCATCAACTCCAGATTTTGTATTTGCTCCTTTTACTTAACTTCTCCCATTGCTTCTCTCTTAGTTTAGCTATATTAAGTTTATTCTATATCCTTGTCCTTTCTCTCAATTTGAAGACTCTCCTCATATTGGCCTTAAACTTCCTCTTACCCACATCCTTCTGCTGTACGTCTCATTTCTCACTTTGCTTCTCTCTTTTCCTTTTATTCTTTGCTTGCTGACTTTATACATCACCTCCTTTCCCTGATCCTTCCCCATTCCCCTTTTACTTAATTAAACTAAGTCAACTTCTCACTTCGCTTCTCTCTTTTGCTTTTATTCTTTGCTTGCTGACTTCATACATCTCCTTCTTTCTCCACCCCTTCACCTGCTCCTTCCTCTTTCCACTTTTCCTTTAATGCTCAGTCAACTTCTCGCTTCGCTTCTTGCTCTACTCCAACTAAATTCTGCATTCGCTTGACAGGGCAGCCGATAGTCGGAACTGTTCCTTTGCAGCCTTTGTCTTCTTCTTCTTCCTCTTCCTTGGTTAGAACCTTGGTTTCCTTAACTATAGCTGACTATCTGTGTGGAGTGCACGTGGTTCGAGCGCATCTCGATTCTGGTTATTCTGCTGAACTGCATAACGCTGGGCATGTATCAGCCCTGTGTAGACGATACCTGTTTGAAGCCGCGCTGCAGAATATTGCAGGTGAGTAAATACATATGATACCTGTATATATATATATATATAGAGAGAGAGAGAGTTGGAGGGAGCTGTCGACGCTGGCGTCACATTAACTGTCATTTATTTAAGCAATTTTTTGGCTCACTTCCTGTCTGCCTTGCTGATGACATCAAACAGGCACTTCGGCTCATTAGGCAGCCAACGCACACGCCGTGGCGCTAGAGGGCGGGCGGCGGGGCAATGGGGGCTGGTTCCTGAGTTGCCCTTCTTGTGCTTCTTCTTTTTTTGGGGCAATTACAGAGCCACGGCTCTGGTATAGAAACTGCTTTCCAGGAAGGAGCTGGGTTGGGGCGCAGCCAACGTGCGAAAATGTTTGTAAATGATATGGCAGGCAGACATTTTGGCCGCAGCCAAGTGTAAAGCGTGCGCAGGGCGACAAATTGGCAAAACGGGAACGGGGCAACGAGGCCAGTCCAGAAGTGAGACCGAGACCGAGCATGAGCCAGGACATAAGTGGCGCCCAAATTGCTGAGAATTGTTTGAGCCGTGCCAAGAAGATAAAGACGGCAACTGCCTGAGTGAAGGAGACAGAGCGAGACTGGAACGGGAACTGGAACTAAAACTACAACTGAAACTGAGACTGAGACTGAAACTGAAACTGGGACGGCTCCTGCTGAGCTGAGCGTCGGCTCCTTCTGTTTGCTCAAAGTATTCGAGGGCAAGGGCGACGCAGGGCCAGTATGCAGGGGGCGTGGCAGTTCATGCATGATGTAGCAACACGTAGTGGCAGCTAAAGTAGACAACAGCTCATTTTGACAAGTGTCAACCACATTATGCTCTAAGCACTAAATGAGTCACACGCTTACTCCACCTGCAGCCCACATCCGCTGCCTCCCAACCCTCCCCACTCTCTCGCACTCTCTAGCTGCCTCTGCTTGTCACACTTCATTATCTCAGTTAGTTCAGATTTCTAGCAAAATCAACTTTGCAGTTGAGCAGAATGAAGCTGAAGTTATCACAGAGTAAGACTCTTCTTGGCAAATGAAAGTGCATAAGAATGTGTATAGAAAAGGCAGATATAACTGAAAGCTATATATATATATATATTTTATATAATAAAAAGGTAAGCTAGAAATATAATGAAGCTATATATATGAAGCTATATTTATAATATAAAAATATATAAAAAGTAATAATCAGCTCTATGAACTCGCTTAAGCAAGAAGTCTTAAGAAAACATCTCTTTTTTTTTAGTATATATGTAGCTATGTTACATTAAGCTAATTTTTTTTTGTAACGCTTTATACACTATCGAAAAGTGTTATTTGTCTTCTTTAAAAATTGTTTATATATAATTTGTTTCTAACAAGTTTTGGGCACTTCAGTTGACTAAACTGAATTGTTTCACTTCCCTCTCTAACTTAAGCTGAACTTTTGCTAAGTAAATTGTTTGATAGCAAATAAAGATAATACCCAAATTTAAAGAACGTTTTCCAGTTCGAAAATAACTGTTTCAAAAACTGCAAAAGCGCTGCAAATACAAGCGAGAAATTAAAAAATATCAATTATATATATATATATATATATATATATATGTATATATATATATATATAAGGTGTAAGCAGAGTTCAGGCTGTGAAGAAGTGTGAAGGAGTGTGAAGAAATTTATGCGACGACTCAGGCTTGGGCTCAGCTCGCTAGGTTTTCGGTTCAAAAGCCAGTTATATATATATATAAACTTAAATAAATAGATATATGCAGTTACTTTGAATATAATTTTGATTGCAATATCTCATACCGCACAGATATTCGATGACATCATCTTCGCCTTCTTCGCCCTGGAGATGACCATCAAAATGGTGGCCATGGGCATGTGTGGCAAGAACACCTATTTGGCCGACTCGTGGAATCGATTGGACTTCTTCATTGTGCTGGCCGGACTGCTGGAGTATGTGATGCATGTGGAGAACTTGAACTTGACAGCGATACGCACGATACGCGTGCTGCGGCCACTGCGCGCCATCAATCGTATACCCAGTAAGTGCAGGGGTCCTGCAGCGGGTAGTCCGACTTCACTGAACGCCACTCTCGTTGCAGGCATGAGAATTCTGGTGATGCTGCTGCTGGATACGCTGCCCATGCTGGGCAATGTGCTTCTGCTCTGCTTCTTCGTCTTCTTCATCTTCGGCATCATCGGCGTGCAGCTGTGGGAGGGCATACTGAGGCAGCGCTGCACACTGGAGCGACCCGAAGGCATGATCTATCCCATAACGTAAGCGAGTTCCACTGCAAAGCATTTTCCACTGGGGTTTACTTTCTCTTTTGAGTTCTATTTTGATTTCCATATGCTCATTTGGTTTCGTTTGTGTGGGACGGGGAACATTCGATTCGACGGACTGAGTTCAACTGAGCTGACGACGCGTATGAGTCACATATGTCTGTCTCTGTCTCTTTCTCTCTCTCTCTCTCGCTGCAGGCGCCTCCAATGCATATCTACATATATATATATATATATATATATATATATATATATGTATATATATATATATATCGCTTTGATATATCGTTTTAAGTTCCTTTTGATCATATTTTATATATATATATATATATATATCTTATATATATATCTTTTTGATATAATTTTTTGCTTTGATTTTTGATAGCTGCTTAGCTCACTTCAGGCTCGCTCTATCCCTCTCTCTCTCTCTCTCTCTCTCTCTGTCTCTCTCGCTCTCACTCACTGTATCTAACTCTTCATCGCTCACTTACTCACTCGCTCGCTCTGTCTCTCTCTCTTTCTCTCTCTCTTACACTCGCTCTTTCCTGGGCTGCCTGGCTGTTAATTTATGTTTTTTTGCTGTTTCGTTTTTTGGCTTTTGCTTATTTGATTTTTGGTAAATGCCACTGACAGCTTACAGCCACACACACACACACACACACACACACCTCCACACACACACACACATCCGTACTGTCCATTGTCTAACGCTACGCATTTGCATGTGAAATGCACTGAGCGCTCGTCAAACTTGACGTCTGGCTGTGTGCCTCAATTGTTAGCAGTGTTGCAAAACGCACGAGTAAAAGTGTTCAACACACACTTCGAGTGGGCCCATCGACATAAGCATGCCAAATTTGACTCTATTCTCGGCTTAAGTGCCTGTAAATGACGTGCCCAGCACAAAGTGACCATGGAGGCCAGTTGCTGCGAGTGGCCAGCGACAAAGTTTGCGTTAAAAGCCAATAAATGGCCAAAGATAATGTCCCATTGTGCACATGGAGGACGAAGAACCCTATTGTCACTTAGCCTCTATTCAAACACAGCCAACAGCTTCGAGTCCAGCCAACTGATCACTTAACCCAAGAGAAAGTGGCCATGGAGGGAGCGGGGATATTTTTAGTGTACTTCAACCACTTCACTTTCAGTGTGGCCAAGTTTGCTTTAAAGTCAAAAACTTGTTTGAAAAATGCCACAAAGTCAAGCACTAAGTGAGTCAGTCTGATTGCCACGCCTCTTGACTGCTCCTAAGCTTGTCACAGTGCTTTACAATAACAGCAGCAGCCTCGAACTGAGTTGCTCGTTTAGTATAAAAAAGTGACCATGGAGAGGAATGAATCTGGCGGGCATTCACCAATGCCACTTCAGCCGTATTTAGGCTAATCTCAAGCCAAAAGTTAGAGTCAAGAATGCAGATAGTCAAGGCGTCAATCAAGTGACCAAGGAGGACAGTCAGACTGATTGACCCACTTCAATCAGCAACACTTCGATTGCCTTGCTAGGGTATATGGCATAATGCATTAGTCTATGTCTGGAATCACAGATTTCCTGTGCAAGCAAAGTGTAGAACTATACTAAGTCACCTTGATGTGATAATGCCTGAGCAGCTGAGCCAGGCCACCTCCATGGTCACTCGGGCCAAACCCCAGCACACAAATGCGGCGCCTCTTGGCTCTGACAGCTGGCAAAGACTTCAAACTTGGCAAAAAATCATTTATCACGGGTCATGCTTTGTCTCTCTCTCCCACTCCTTATCTCTCTCCCACTCCTTATCTCTCTCCCACTCACTCTCTTAGCAATGACGTCAGCACACACACACACACACACACACTCGCAGCTAAACACCCAAATGTAGGCAGCATATAGAACCTTTTGCTTTTCCCCTACCTTTGCCAAGTTTTTGTTTGCTTTTGCTGATTTTTTCTTTCCTTCTTGCCTTCTCTGTTATCGTTAATCGATTGTTTTTGCATGCAGCAAGCAACTGTACCTGCCTGGCCGCAAAATAGGCCACACTCGCAGGTGTTAATTTTACGCCATTTTTCGCTGCCTCGCATAATTATTGTAAATGCAAATTTCCCATGGCCCACACATGTATTTATATATATACCTATATCTGCGTATATATATATGTATATAAATGCTCGTTTGCATTTCCATCATAATTTTGCATATATTTTTTATGTTCACATGCAAATTTGTATCTTTTTTTCACATTCATTTAAATGGGCAGCACTTTTCGCGGCTTGTCGCATTGATAAATGCTGAATTCATGCGTTTCATACTCGTTCACGGTAGACAAACGGCCGTATATTGGTTTCAATTGTACGGAGACCTTTGTGTTTTGTGTGAGCCATAGCAAAATGGGTTCTTTAAGATACTTTAGTGTTACTAGTCTTAGTCCAAAGTCATTCCATATGCCATTAGCTATAGAGTAATATATCAAGTGAACAGCTCAGGCAGTGCTTGAAGCGGAAACTATTTTCGACTTATTCCAATTGCCGGCAGGATATTGGCCAAGAAAGTGTCAACTCACGCTAAAACTTAGCAAGTGAGCGACGAATTGTCAACGTCTCTGACGAGTGCCGGCAAAAGTCATCTTGCTGAGTTGCCATTTCGCCGAATTTTTAAATTATATTTATGCTTTTGGCACGCAGTAAGCAATTTTTAATCAAATGGCAAATCTTATTAAAACTTTCGACAACTAAGAGTTATCGATTACTTTAACAACTGCTGATTAACTGTTATCGAAAATAGTATCACTCTTGCTTGGTCAGCCCTCCCAAGAGTTTTTCTCGCAGGACAGCAGACCTTGTATTATATACAATATATATATATATATATATTGCAGTTAACTTGAATAGTCAAGTTGATGGGCGTGGCAGTATAGTTTAAGCAGTAGCTTACAGTAGCAGTAGCAGTAGCAGCAGGAGTCCAAATGCAGTTCGTCATAGACGGACGCCTCTTGAGGGCTTGTCGTCTTCCTCAACTCTAAGCCATATCTCAAAATCTATTAGACTTGGCCTCGAGTTCGAAGCGTGAACGAGTATTTTGAAGTCGGCTACGCCCAACTGAAATAGTTTTACTTTATCTTTTGCTTTTTATTGATTTTTGATAGCACTCAAGTCGTTTGATCCTTGGGCCTATTTGTACATATTTGTAATATATAAATAAATATTTAAAATTAGTTTTGATGGCTTTAAATGTTTTGTTTTCTCTTCAAAGCGACACACATCCAACATAGCATAGAGAGCTTCACGCTGCCAGATACTATCTCTTCCACTGAGTGTTCAGTGGCGTGGGGATATAACTGTTTCGCTTTATAGGCCATAGAGATACAGTTACTATATAAATTAATTTTTTTATATTTTTTTCTTATTTTTGTATATTTATCTAGTTCAAGCTTCAGTATTTTTTAAAGTATTTTTGTATATAAACCCGTTATGTTTGAAGCTCTATCTGTTATATAGCCAATAGTCGCATCAGCATATGAAAGACTTCTCTTAGCTATAGCTCGGCTCAACACAAAAGTATTTTTAGGGCATTACATTTATTGGCTACGCAGTGGATGAGTCGCTGTCCTTAAGACGTTTTGGTTTGGATTTACACACACTACATAAAAGACACTTTACACACTTAACACGCACACACACACACACATGTGTACAGTCACGTGCAAAAGCTACATTTTTTGAGCCATTCACAATGAGCAGGCGCGATTGCTGCATTCACATGCATCGCCTTCTTCTTCTTATTCTGTATTTTTTGATGATGATGAGCAGACAACAGACCAAACAACAACAACAACAGCTTACAACAAACAACAAAATATAAAAAATACCACAAATATACCAACAAAAAAATACCACAAACACATATATATACATAACTATATTTCATAATTCTTTTCCAATTCTTTCCTTGATTTTATTTTACTTTTTTTTCATCTCTTATTTAATAATTTTCTTTTTTGAAACAAGTCGAAAAACGATAAAGAACATTGCATTAAAAAGTATAATTTTATTTAATTGGCACTGAGTAAGTGGAAATACACCAACGAAAAAAAATACCAAATATCTTTTTAAGAATCAAATTTCTTGCAAAATTCTGTCTTCAGTTATTGTTTATCGCATTGAGTTTCAAATATGTTTATCCAAATAATCCAAAAAAATACCAAAAAAAAAGCATTAATAATACAAAAAAAGATACTAAAACAAAAATCATACCGGGAACAAACTTTTTGTTTACAGGGGACTACCTGAAGTGTACAGAGTTCGAGTCCGTGTTAACTCGTAAGATAAAATGATTTATTTTTCCCCCTTTCTTAAAATGCCCTAAATACACAACAAACAAACAACAACAACTACAAACAACCAGAAAATAAATAAAAAATACCACCAACAACAACAACACAATAAGATACCAAGCCTAAAAAATATATATACAAAAAAATACCACACGAATACTAAATGAGTAAATTTGATTAACAACACAACAACAACACACGAACACACAGTATATAAGAACCCTAGTCGTCTAATATAGCTCTCGCTCTCTCGCTCTCTCTCTTTCTCTAGTGTACGCTCTCGCTCTCTTTCCTTAACCAGTAAAATCTACTCTCTTTCTCTCTCTCTCTATATTAACCCTGGAGCTAGCGCTCGCTCGCTGTCTTATCCCCCTTAGCGATAGTCCATATATCGCAAGCACTAAAACTTACTCGTGTTACACGCTCTCCCGCTAAGCTCTATCTCTAGCACACACACTCTCTCTTAGTCTCTCTCTCTCCCTCTATCTATATTTGTCTTCCCTTTAGTTTTACACCCTCAAGCTCTAGTCTCAATATATATGTTTCCAATACGTAAACAGCTACCTCTCTCTGTCTCCCTCTCTCTCTCTCTTTTTCTATCCCTATCTCTATATCTGTCGTACACCTTATAAGTAATATTTGCCGATATATACATACTAAAATACTTACTTAAAAACTTTTAAACTTATTATACTTAAACCATATATAGACTATATAAACTAGAACGTAACGAATACATCTGCTCAATCAAACAACTGCCAAATACAACACTACTCAACTATTGGCGTGACACGTTATGCAACACTGAAACACTGACACTGTACTCACCCAAGCTGTGTGCCCACAGCCGCCGCAAGAAACCTTTAAAGCGAGTAGCTAAGGCCTCACTGATGACAGCAGCTAAATTTATATCAGATATTTTAAAAAGAGCAAAGCAAAGCTGAGAAGCTTAGCGATAAGCTTAGTTGAGAAATAGAAGTAACATAATCAAAGCAATAAATGTCCAGCGAGAAGCGCAGTTGCCAGGCAGGCAAAGCATATTGCTCAGCTCAGCTTGAAGCGACATTGCATCAAGCGAGAAGATTGAAATACTTTCGCTTCTCTCTTAAGAAGTCAAGCAAACTTCTTTGAATTTATTAAAATGTGTTCTTAAGTCTCGCTTCTTTTAAAGCTTCTTGCTTTTCTTTAGACTTTTTAGATGCCTTCATTCATCCGATTTTGAAGCTTCTCACTTGCCTGCGAGTTTCTCGCTTCTCTTCAAGCTGCTCTGTTAGCTTATCTCTTCTGTGTAGGCTTCTTATTGAGCTGCTTGCTTACCTTCAAGCTTCTCGCTCGTCTTCCCCACTTCTCTTCTAACTTACTGCTTCTCTCAGCTACTCACTTCTGTTCAAATTGCTTGCTTCTTTCTAAGCTTCTCGCTACTCTGTTAGCTTAGCTCTTCTGTGAAGGCTTCTTGGCCTTCCTTAAGCTGCTCTCTTTCTTGCTGGCCTCACAGCTGCTTGCGGTCTGAGGTCAATAGCCTTTACTAGAAGCACACAAGCACGCACACACATACACACACACACACACACACACACGCACACCAGCAGCAGATACTAGTCACTCGTAATGTTTTTGTAGCCAACTCTACGTGTGTGAAGTCTGTGTCGTTGTCGTAGTGAATATAACTCTCCCTCTCTCTCTCTGTCTCTCTCTGCCCCACCTGCTCTCCCTTACTCCTACTTCTTTTTACTTTTGTATGTGTGTGTGTGTATATTTATGTCCTTGTTGTGTTCGTACTCGTATTCGTACTCGTACTTGTTAGTGTTTTAGCAACAGTTACTCACTCGAACTTAAACAAAAATGTTTTATTTCGTTTCTTTGTGTTCCTAGACTTGATGTTGACTATGTGTATGTGTGTGTGTGTGTGTGTGTGTGTCTTTTGTCTCTTACTCTTTGATTTATTGTGAGTTTTCATTTAGTTTTGCCTCGAATTTGCCTTTGAAACCGAAGCCGAACCCGAAAAGTGTTTTCCCTCAACTACAACAACAAATTGGGTAACAATCTTGTACCAGCCTACCATTTAATCCACACACACACACACACCTACATACACACATACACACTTTTTGTTAGTTTTTAGCGTGTTTTCATAGCGTAGTCAATGCGTTAGTTTTTCTCCCTATTCCAGCAGCAAATATTAGTTGTGTTTTGTTATTTGCATTTATGTTCACACCCACACACACACACGTACACGTACACAGTCGCACCCTAAAACTGATGCTATCTATGTTTGTAAGCTCAACTCTTTTTACAGGAAAAACCATCAGTTTCTATTGCAAAGGTATTTAAAGCTGCCCGGTCCCAACCTAGCTTAACATAAGAAACCCCCGTGACGCCCCCAGCCCCACACTTACACAGCTTGCCACAAATGGCAGCTACAACAATAATCAAAATTAAAGTCGCATTACAAGCTATACACACTCACACACACACACACACACACACCTGACTCTCCCTCTTCGGCGCTCTGTCAAAAAAGTTTAGCATACTTTTACGCGCGAGAATTTTCGCATTTTTATTTTCTTCTCGTTTCACACACACACACACACACACACACACACACACACATACACATACACATACACGCACACACACGCGTACATTTACGTTGACATTTTTGTGTCTCTGCCCCGTCACGCCCCCCTTTGTGGTGCAGTCTCAACGCCCCTCTCGCCCCTGCAGCCCTCGTTGCGTTTAATTTAAATTGCTTTGAATTTACTTTTGCCGTTGCCACTTTTGTTTTTATCTTCTTCTTTTTTGCCGTCTTCTCTTGTTCTTATTTTCATTTCTTTTAATTTTGTTGAGCTTTACGTTTTAATTTTGTGGCTGCTTCTTTTGAGTGCGCACTTTTTGTGGTCTGCGGTTTAGCCGCTTTTTATGGTCTCTCAGACACGTTATCTCCCGCACTCACTCACTCTCTTTCGCTGCCTCTCTCGCTCTCTCTCTCTCTCTAGTTGTGCTACTATTGTGCTTGTAGCCTGCTGTGCTTGAGCTGTATTTGCATTGTACGTGCTCTGATCTTGCCAAAGCTTTGAGCTTTCTCTACATACTCCTTGCCTACCTCTCTCACTCTCTCACTCTGTCTTTTACTTTGATCTGGCTCTCACATGCAAGCTGAACGCCTTGTCAACTGCTTTATACTCAAAGCCTATGCCTGACAAATCTCTCACTCTCTTATTTATACTAAAACAGTGAGCTAAAAGCTTAATGCGTCTCTCTCTCTCTTTTCGACTTACGCTCTTATGCTCAAAGCTTATCACTCACCACTATCACTCTCTCTCTCTCTTTTACTCTCTTACTCAGAAGCTTTAAAAGCACAAAGCTTATTTCTCTCTTCTTCCTCTACAAGCTTCTAGCTTGGCTGGCTCGCTCTTCATTTACTCTCTCACTCACTATTTCATGCTCTCACTCGCTCACTGCGTGCCTCTCTTTCTCTTCCTGAAGCTTTTAAAGTGCAAAGCTCTGTCTCTCACGCTTAAGGCTTGGCTTTCTGGCTCTTTATTAGCTCTCTCTCTGTCTCGCTTTTACTCACTCTTTCGCTCATTGTCTCACTTTCACTTTGTATTGGACTCAACATTGGATCAACGTGTGTCTCACTCTGTCACCTTAGCTTGTTCTCAATTGGCTCTGCTCACGCTATCTCACTCTCACTCTCACTCTCTGTCTCACTCTAATTAGTGGTATGTGCTGACTGAATGACTGCCTCAGTCGCAGTCAAAAACTGAAAAAAGCTCTACAAAATTTTCACGCACCTAATTGATCATGCGAAACAAAAACGAACCAAAGAAACTCAATCAAAAAAAATATATATATCTCTGTCTCTCTCTCTCTCTCATAGAACTTTTCAACGTATTCTCTCAAATTGTCGATGTATGTGTAAATGTTATCAAAAAAAAAAAAAAGAAACAAAAACATAAAATAACGTAACGCATAATGACATTTACTCTACGTATCAATTAAATGAAATGAAATCTGATGTGAACTTTGATTGTTAAAAAACGACTCTTTTTTATGCTCTCTCTCTCTTTCTCTTTCTTTCTCTCTCTCTTTCTTTCTCTGTGTGTTTCTTTCTCTGTCTATTTTCTATATAAATATAACGTGTTTGTCTCTTCTGTCTGTCTGGACAATCGCAACTTGTTTGTTTATCTAACCAAACGCAACATGCGACCTTCTCTTTACCCAATCAACTGTCGCAGCCTCTCGCAATACTATGAGTTCTCCAAGGATCAGGACTACATTTGCTCAACGCCCGAGGATTCGGGCATGCATCTGTGTGGCAACTTTCCGCCGTATCGCATCGGATCACTGGTCTGCAGTGGTAAGTACTTCCAGCTAGCCGGCTAACCCCAAGCCGCCCCCTCGGCTCAAGCAAACTTTCATCTTAATGAGGTGCAAACTGTGCGTGTTAATCAAATTTTGATGGCACTTTTTAATTGCTTTCGTGCTGCTCAACTTTCTGGCAGCCTCCGCCCCGTCCCGCTCCGCCCTATTCAGTCTCTCCACCTCGCTCCCGCTGAAACTAATTGTAAACTTTTTGCAGAGGAGGCCAAGCTACTGGACCTGAATGAGCCAACGAATACGTCGTGCGTGAATTGGAATCAGTATTATACGACCTGCAAGCAGAGCGGCGAGAATCCCTTTCAGGGCACCATATCCTTCGACAACATTGGCATGGCCTGGGTGGCCATATTTCTGGTAAGTTGACAGCGAGCAGCCGCAGACTTTTTGCCAATTAGCGCATCGCAACTTTTTGCTTAAACAAATAACAATGACACAACATTGACAGAGCACACGTAGCCAGGCAGCCAGGCAACCAGCGAGGCACTCAGTCGAGTGTTTGTTGCATGTTAATTTCGCTGCTCAACTGCGGTGCCAGTTGCCACTTTTGGCATCGCTTTCAATTAAAACAACAACAAACACGGCAACAGCAGCTGTCAAATTTGCATAGGGCGGTAGCTGCTGCTGTCAGCTAAGCGGGTCACGACGATTCACCCCGCGGCACAGCGCGGCGTACGCGCAATGTGTCAATAGTCAGCGTCACGTTGCCGCGACAACTCAACAGCAGCAGCGACAGCAGCAGCAAAGTTCCAAACTAACTGCGAAATGTCATTGCAGATTGAATCATTTTTGGAAGTTAACAGCTTATCGAAGCGCAAATTTGCAACACAAATTCACAGTTTGCATTGCTTCAGCTGCGATTGTTCGCCTCAACTCGACACCTAATTGAAATTAGAAACCAAATTGAATACAAAACCACAAAATAAACGGATTTCAGCTGAATCCATGGAAGCAGATAGAGTTAGAGATACATCTACAGTTAGAGATGAAGATACATTTACAGATGCACATACAAATACAGTAATAGATACATATACATATACAGTTAGAGATACAGATACAGATACAGACAGAGATACAGATACAGATACAGATACAGATACAGATACAGATACAGATACAGATACAGATACAGATACAGATACAGATACAGATACAGATACAGATACAGATACAGATACAGATACAGATACAGATACAGATACAGATACAGATACAGATACAGATACAGATACAGATACAGATACAGATACAGATACAGATAACAGATACAGATACAGATACAGATACAGATACAGATACAGATACAGATACAGATACAGATACAGATACAGATACAGATACAGATACAGATACAGATACAGATACAGATACAGATACAGATACAGATACAGATACAGATACAGATACAGATACAGATACAGATACAGATACAGATACAGATACAGATACAGATACAGATACAGATACAGATACAGATACAGATACAGATACAGATACAGATACAGATACAGATACAGATACAGATACAGATACAGATACAGATACAGATACAGATACAGATACAGATACAGATACAGATACAGATACAGATACAGATACAGATACAGATACAGATACAGATACAGATACAGATACAGATACAGATACAGATACAGATACAGATACAGATACAGATACAGATACAGATACAGATACAGATACATATACATATACAGATACATATACAGATACAGTTACAGATACAGATACAGATACAGATACAGATACAGATACAGATACAGATACAGATACAGATACAGATACAGTACAGATACAGATACAGATACAGATACAGATACAGATACAGATACAGATACAGATACATACAGATACAGATACAGATACAGATACAGATACAGATACAGATACAGATACAGATACAGATACAGATACAGATACAGATACAGATACAGATACAGATACAGATACAGATACAGATACAGATACAGATACAGATACAGATACAGATACAGATGCAGATACAGATACAGATACAGATACAGATACAGATACAGATACAGATACAGATACAGATACAGATACAGATACAGATACAGATACAGATACAGATACAGATACGGATACAGATACAGATACAGATACAGATACATAGAATGATAATGAGAAATCGATTGACTGATTTACTTCCCAGAGATACAAATGCCAATGCAAAAGATACAAATAAAAATACATTGAGATAAACTTATGCAGAGGCAGAAGCTGTTCCAAATGACAGCTGCAGTCAAAAGCTGATTCTGGGAAAGAGAGATACTAATTTAGATACAGTCGCAGAGTGAGCTTCTGCGCTTTAATTGATACAAATGCAGCTGGATGCATTCATTAAGATGCAGATGGAGAGACAGATACAGGAGAGAGATACAGTTGCGGCTGCCTCAGTGCTGCGTCCCCTGCGCTGTCAACGTTTGTGGCTGCTTTGATTTGTGACTTTGATATTTCGCCATTAAGGGGGCGGAGCCGCAGCCAATGCTGGAGGCTCCCTCCCCGGCTTTCCAATGGGGTCAACGAAGGGTTTAAATGCTTTGCAATTAAACACAAATCAAATACGCATTAAACCATCTGCGTTGCAGGACAGCACACTGACAGAAGTGACAGGGACACACACACACACACATAACAAAACAATACTGAAATATTACGCATACGTGACGTGGTACAAAATGAAGAGCTGACCTTTGTTGTTGTTGCCCGCTGCTAATTACGCTAAAAACAAAGCCAACAACAACAACAACAAGAATTTAAACGTTTGTCACTTGTCATTGCAGGTCATCTCGCTGGAGGGCTGGACTGACATTATGTACTACGTGCAGGATGCGCACAGCTTCTGGGACTGGATCTACTTTGTGCTACTAATTGTGGTAAGTGCGTGAAGCTAATACAAACATTTATATATATCTAGATATATATGCTATATACATGCGATATTCATATATGTAAATTACTTTTTTTGGAGTGACTGATTGAATAATAAATGCACAGCCTAAAAAACTTCCGCATTCTCTCAACTATTTAACATATCCATACATAATTGAGGAGTATCCGACTAGCAAATACCCTGAATCTCTTCAATACACGCACACCTCTGCCTCTGCTCCTCTTTGCCAAAGTTCTGAATATCAGCCAAGTCTGGAGTAGAGTGAAGGTATCCAAATCCGAAAATATTTCAGCCCTGCGTATGTATGCATGGAAAATATAAACTAATTTTGATGTCTCCAGCATTTAGGGTTCAAAGACCCTGCCAAAAATCAATTTGCATCGAAAATAAGCAAATGTGCTAAGTAATCAGACAGGCAGACAGACGAACGTGGCTACAGCTCTGTTCATAAAAATAGTAGTGCCAACACTTGCTTTTGTTTTTCACATAGCCATATACCCTGTTGGCTCAACTTGAATGGGTGCAGGCTATAAAAAGCTTTATCTGACAATTTGACTGATTGATAATCAACACAGTAGCCAAACGGCTATTAAATGTGTATAAATGCCTCCCTGGTGAGACTTAAACGGGCATTAAGGAAAGGTTTTAGCATATTTGCAACTGCAGGCAAAGTGTAAAGATAAAATTAATAAACGTATACTGCCGATACTTTCGCTGTCAAGCGACTCAGTGAGCACGAAATGGAAGCGCCAATAAGTAGGCAATAAAAAAGTTGCGAGAGCAACGCCCGCAGAAGTATGCAATAGATGGTTCGACTCATCGATTTGTTGTTAAAACTCGCATTTGGGTTAAGCTGTAAGCATAACCACACTTATCGCCAGCTGTACATCGTATTATTTCGGGTCATATTGACATTTGAGTTGCCTAATTGTATTTTGAAGCTCGAGCTCTGTGCCCCCATAGAAGATTCCAATTTATATTTTGAAACTTTTGAATCGAATTTCGTTGAGTGCACAAAGCAAAGCAGCTAAAGCAATTTGAATATGTAAATATATATGTTATACACACACACACACACGGAATCACTCACATATAGAATAATAGAAGTCCAGTTGGCTGGAGATTCATCATGCGTTTGCCCAGTTGGCCACATGTTGCAAGCTTTTGTTGCATCTCCAGGTATCAAGTGTCCTTGTACTAATTAAAAGCCTTTTAAGCCAACACACACACATTATTTATGTTCAAATTGTTGTTTCGCTCACACCGAACGCTTGCTATCTCACTCGATTCAGCTGCTTTGTTAGTTGCTCATCTGATGTGCAAAATGATTTTTGCTGTTGCTCAGGCAAACAGCAACAACTGCAACTGCAGCTGCAGCAACTGCAGCAGCAATAACTTTTCATATGCAAATAGCTAGCAGTCTATGCAAGGCATATATCCAACCACCTGCCCCAAAGCCCATTCATTTCCCCATTTCCATCCACTCCACAAGTCAAAACCCTCTTTTATGTTTTATGCTATTGAAAGTTGCTTGTTGCCAGCAAGGAAATTGCATATTTATGTTGTTGCTGCTCCTTTTTCTATTTTGAGAAACATTTTGTGCAGCGAGCGCCACACAAATTCCAAAATTAGAAACATTTCGCTCGGCATACCCTTGGCAAAGTGGACGTGGATGAAGTGGATCATCTGCGCTCATTTTACCCAACTCGGAGATTGAACTCTTTAAAGCAATTTCATTGCGAAATCAATCGACTCGAAAGGCGGCATTCTGTCAATCAATCAGCTCGTCAATCACTTAACACTAAGTCAATTATGTGATCTGTCTGAGAGTCAATCAGTCAGGCCGGCAATCGGTAAGTCAAACACTCTTTCAATCATATAGTCATTCAATCAATCAAACAATCAGTCAGCAAGCAGCTTTTCAAGTGCGAGTCGTCAATCAATCTGATAATTAGTCAATCAGTCAATAATCAGCCTATTCCCAGTCTATGGCTCAGCCCATCAATGAGTCAATTTTCCAATCAATTTGTCAATCAATCACTCAATCAGTCAATTTACAACGTAATTATTTCATTAGTCAATCAGTCAATCAGTTATACCTAATCGCTAATGATATGATAGGCCAACGACTGATCCATCATCTAGTTATTCAATCAATCAATCCATCAGTCAGTCAACTCTTTTGCTTATCTTATACTCTACAAACTATTTAGAGGGTATGTGCTAGTCTGGCTCTTTTATTGTCTCTCTTTGTTGCTGCTATTGTTGTACAAAAATATGTTTTCAATTTAAAGTTGGCAAATTTGTTTTGCCAGAAAGCTATTAAAATGCAACAGCAAGCTAATGGATGGCTATCCATAGAAAGTGAGCGAGGGAGGCGGAAAGAGAGTGAGCGAGAGAGAGAGAGAGAGTAAGAAAGGGAGGGAGGGAGTGAGCCAAATTGGCAACTCAACTAATTTGCAGTCATTGAACGAATAACAAATCAAAAGTTCCACAATTTGTAGCGCCGCCTGCCGCCTGCTGCTGCCTGGTGCAGCCGTCGCGCCGCTATCGAAGCTGCCTCAATTTGTGGCACAAACTTGTTTTGTCGCTTGTGGCATGGAAATGTGAAAAGTTACAAAATTTGCTGTGAACTTTAACAAATATTTGGTTTTCTACTCATTTGCAGATTGGCTCGTTCTTCATGATCAACCTGTGCCTGGTCGTCATTGCCACCCAGTTCTCGGAGACCAAGAAACGTGAGATGGAGCGCATGCGGCAGGAGCGTGCACGATACACGTCAACCTCGACGCTGGCGAGCAGCACAAACAACTCAGAGCCGGCCACATGCTACGCCGAGATAGTCAAATACATCGCCCATCTGTGGCGACGCTTCAAGAGACGAATGTTAAAGAAGTACAGATTATATAAGTATGCTGCTTGTCCGTTTTTTGATTTGATTCAATTACGTTTTACGTTCACCTGTTTACCTGTCACTGTTCTCGTTTTTCTCGTTATTTCATTGTAAACTAAATCCCATCAAATATTTAACATCAACTTAACAATTGCTTAGCTTGACAACAACTGCAACAGGTCAGCCTCTCTGTCAGGCCTCCCAACACCCAAAGTGAAGGACTCCAACTCGATTGACTCAGCTCTTATCTCAGAGCTCACGATTTCTTCCTATTTGATATAGCCCAAAAATTCCACTAAGTCTCACTATCTTAAATGTTTAGCTAGGGCGCTGGATATGAGAACCTGCTCTTTGCTCTAATGGTAGAGCTCTAGCAAACATAAGTTCAAGCTGGGCATTGGTTCGCATTTGCTTAATTTTGGTTCATCGTCTTGAGTTCATGCAGCTTAGGCTCAAAATACGTTACTCGAAGGCCATTCCTAAACTTGTCTCTGATCAGCAGGCAGCCTAATGTTAGCCATCCTAATAATGCCAAACCTAATCTTGTCTAATCTAATCCAACCCAACTTAACCCTTTACTATCCCAACTTATTATAACATAAACCCTCTTCATCTAACTCCTTCCTTAACCTAACCTAACCCTTCTTAGACTATTCTCACAATATCCCAACCCAACCTAATCTAACACCTCTTCAATTAACAGCTCAATCACACTTAGAGAGCTTTCCAATTTCGTACATGTCTTAAATAAATCTTCACAGATCTCGCAACTAGCATCTTCCTAGACCAAGTGTATCAAATGGTTGTCTTAGTAAAATCTTGGCAAGTTTCATTCAATTGAATAAGTTTTATTCAATTGACTATTCCAAGAGTCTTCTAAAGCAAAGTTCTCTTAGTCAAAGTTGAGGCTTAAAGCCAACTGTATTTGACGTTCAAATTGAATTTCTCAGTTCACAAGTTTTTAGCTCTCATCCAGAGGCAGGGGTCTGCCTCTACGCAACACGCCGTTTGATTTTATTGCATTTTATTTGCGATACTTCGATTTGAATTCGTTTCCCTTTGAGCGCCTGACCCGGATCTTCCACTGCTCTGGCTAAAATATATATAAATAAATATATATATATATTTTTGTGATTTATTAAAAATTCATTTAACATGCGTTCCGCTTCTCACGTCCTGCAGCGCACGTTCTGTTTGTTTCTTCTTGTGTTTTTTATATTTATTCTTTTTTCTGCTTTTTAGTTTTCTCGTTTACAGCTGTCAACTTTTTGGGTTTTGCATTTTTTATGGGCTTTGCCTTTCAATTATTTGCACTTGCATCTGGTCGCGTGTGTTGTTCCCCATGTGTGGCCGTTACTGCTGTGTCTCGTCTAACAAGAGAACAGCAAATGCAACAAATAGAGTTAGTCACCTTAGACAGTTTAGCCTGTGACTGTGACTGTGACTGTGACTGTGACTGTGACTGTGACTGTGACTGTGACTGTGACTGTGACTGTGACTGGGACTGTGACTGTGACTGTGACTGTGACTGTGACTGTGACTGTGACTGTGACTGTGACTGTGACTGTGACTGTGACTGTGACTGTGACTGTGACTGTGACTGTGACTGTGACTGTGACTGTGACTGTGACTGTGACTGTGACTGTGACTGTGACTGTGACTGTGACTGTGACTGTGACTGTGACTGTGACTGTGACTGTGACTGTGACTGTGACTGTGACTGTGACTGTGACTGTGACTGTGACTGTGACTGTGACTGTGACTGTGACTGTGACTGTGAGTGCTAGCAGAAAGCTAGAATTAGCATAATATAGAATTAGACTATGCTAGTATAATCAGCTAGTTGGAATTGCCAAAGATTAGAAAGCTATTTAAAGTTAAGCTCCCCTAAACATTAAGCTTAGCTTACCTTAACACAAATGTAGCATGTTTAGCTATGAAAAATTATAATAAGGCATAGATTTGTCAATTTGTAAGTGAAAAAACTTACCAACTTAGGCTGTGAGCGTTTGTTGTTCTTTAATCAAATATTTTTTCTCAACCATATTTTCAATCTATGAGTTTTCATCTGAATCCAAAAATATTGCTTAAGGTTGGCAGTTTATGTCACATTGAGCCTTTAAAGAAATTTAAAATAATTTTTCAACTTTCCAATTTCTTAAGTTAAAAGTCAAGAGCTTTTACTTTAGCAAGATATGCAAAGTTTTTACCATACTTTAAAACATTCTTACCAAGCGTGACAATTCAGATCACTTAAAGCTTTAAGGTGCTTTCAGCACACTTGACTTAAATTCAGCTAACCAATGATTATTGTAAGTAATTAATCACAAGATTAATTCAAGAGCTATGAAAATGAATTTAATTTGACTTAGTAAGCATTTGATTATTTTCTAACAGCTGCTCAAGCGCTGATAACAAGGTCAGATAACAACTTCACTTTGAATGTTAAGCAACATTCACTCAATGAAAGTCATGCTCGAGTGCTTCACTGGGCTTGATGCCACAAACATTTCAGCTCTGCGAGATGCTTTAAGTCATTAGCTTTAGTACACGTTTACAACACATGAGCCCCCTCTTTCTTTCCTTCTCTCTCTGCCTCTCTGTCTCTCTTTTCCTCCGTTCTACTACACAGTCTGCTCTGTCTCTTGCCTTAAGTCGAATTGCTATAAAATATTTTAATTTTAATTTGCATTCGTCTTGTTCGACGCTCGTTTGTTGTGGTTGTCGTTGTTTTTGCTTATTTGCGTTGTTCATTTGATTGAATTATGTAATTGTTGTCTAATTAGTAAGCACACGCATACTCAGACACACACGCACGCACGCACACACTTACACTTACACTTACACAATTAGACAATGTCTAATGATGCCACAGAGAGCCACACGCACGTAATCCAAACCTCGAAACAGAACCCGCACACGTTCTCGTGCGAACCACATGTAAGTGTAAGTGTGTGTGTCTACGCGAGTGTTAATGTGTATGTTTGTAGGTGTGTGTGTGTGCGTGTGTATGTGTAATGCATGAGCTTGTTTTTGACTATATACACTAATCGTTTGCCCTTTGCCCTTAACACCTTCTGCTGCTGCGTCGTCCTCGTCCTCGTCCTCGTCCTCGTCCAGGTATCAGCGGCAACAGCGTCGCGAGGGTCTGCTACCCAATGCTGATAATCTGACCTTTTCGCCGTCGCGCATCAAGTGCCATCATCCGAATTGTCCCAAATACAGTAATCGCAAGCCGTCCAGCATACAGGATCAGATGATTACCGTTATGGTGCCGCTTAATTCCAACAACAATAACAACAATAGCAGCCACAACAACAGCAACAGCAACAACAACAGCAGCAGCAACAATGGCAGCGGCAACGGTGGTGGAGTTGGTGGTGGTGGTGCTGGTGCTGGTGGTGCTGGTGGTGGAGCTGGCAACAGCCACAATCACACCACTGTTGCATTGATTAATGGCATCAATGGCAGCACCGCCAGCGTCTCGATGGCCCAGCAGCAACAGTTGGTGGCAGGCGGCGCTGCGTCTCAGGCGCAACTCTCCTCGTCGGACAACACGGAGCAGTCGCTTGGCGAGGGCAGCGGCTCAGGCATCGCTCGTCGCAGCTCCTCGATGAAGAAACCCACCGCCCACCATGGCCACAGTTTGCAGCTCAAGCCAGAGGCAACTGGCGGCGAGCAGAAGACAATTCTGCTCAAGCTGCCACAACAGGTCATCGACTCGGACCAATTGATCGTAAGTACCAACCGAAAAGAGGAAGAAGCGAACAGAAGTAAACAGCATACCATATCCAAAAACTGTCCAAAGATATACGATATGTACATGTTAAAATTCTAGGCCACATAAAGTCCATAAGTTAATTACCCGTGACGAGAAACCAATTAACGATATACGAAACATGATACTACAACCAAATACGATATCCTATATATTAATTACGATATATGGCTTTTGACATACTATTTTTGACAACACGATACGATACACAAAATACGATACTCTACATATGATACTACATATGATACTTAATACGATATACTACAAATTAAACACATGTGTCTTACGATATTCAATACATTGGTATAATATACTAAATACACTACAAAGTTACGGCTATTACAAAATCAGCAAAAACCAAAACTTACGATAAACTCCAAAACTGTCGTACCGTATACGATATTCCATGAGCAGTTAATTAAATATGATATGATACGATAATATTTTCATATTTTATAAGTTATAACACATACGATATACATACGATACGATACGATATTCGATGCACAATGTACGATATTGAATTATATATGACAATTGATATCATATGCATGATATCCCACACTAAGCCTAACATAAAACTGGCAACTAAATAAGCTATACTACATACGATATACCACATACGATATTCGATATACATTATCTTGACATTCACCAAGCAGCAGGGCCAGACTTTGCTTACAAATTCCACAAACATACTCAACAACCAAGAAACAATAATCAAACCCAACAATACTTTTGACCACCCACTAACTTAACTATGTAATACCGCTAATAATGATCTTTCATATTTGTCACGAACGTCGCGCAACTTGTAGCTGCAGTTGGGAAATTTAGGCAAGGTATTGCTATCTATCACAACTAAAATCTTTAAGAACCCTAAAAAACATATATATTTAAATCAAGCTAGAAGTTTGAGCCTCGGCTAGCCGAAGCAGCCCAAGCAGATGTATGGAATCGGCAATATTGAGAGCAGAGGATATTCAATTGAAACAGAAAATCTTTCCGAGTCAATCAAAATAGGCTTAAGAATTACGATATTATGTTACGGCTTTACGTTTCCATAATAATCCGATGTAATAATTATTTTCGGGAATTATATTACGATATTTTGATATGATATTTCGATATTAAAATATTACGATATTCGAATATTACGATATTCAAATATTACGATATTCGAATATTACGATATTCAAATATTACGATGTTCAAATATTCTGATATTCAAATATTACTATATTACGACATTCAGAAATTGAGAAATTACGATATTACAATGTAACGATACAACGAAATTACGATATTCAAATATTAGGACAATACTTCCAGAAAACGATTATAATTCCATATTCCTGCAAGGGCAAAACGTTAATATCTTTGACGAGACTTCGAAATTTGCAATTAAATCAAAAATGTAACAACAAAAGCTCGAAGCGAAAAGGAGAATTACGCCCATTAAATGTGAATACAATGTATAAAAGACCTACGCCCACAGCCCCGCCGCCCCCGGCGACCCATTGAAGTCCATTGTTCCATTAGACCCATTGTTAAAATGCCAATTAATTATTCAAATATTTGTTTCATTTCATTACATATGTAAATAGTAATTGAGATTCATTCAACTCGACGATTCCCTCGCCCATCAAAGGAGAGGCAACCTTTTGAGGGATATAGATTTGTGCTTTATGAATATTAGATGCAATTATTCTAGTGTAGAGCATGTTCCATTTGAAGAGCTCGGGATTAGAAACTCTTTTTGCATTTCTTTTTAGCGCTGGCATTCATAAGTGGCCGATCGCAGTCAAAACTCAATTCTTGACTTATAGTTTAATGAGCTTTTCAAGCAATTCAAGAACTAAGCTCTGAATGTCTCAAAAATCGATATCACTTAAAGTCTTCAAGTCCGAGCGAGCTTTAATTTCAAGCCATAAAAAGCTTTTAATCTTTGTCGTTCTGCTTTAGCTTAGAATATTTTTAAGCAGCTTTAACAGCTTACCTATCCATGCTCGAGTTAAATATAGCTAATCAATGATGTGAAGCACACTTTCAAGTCTTTGAAACTGACTTTTCAGTGTTGGGCAATGCATTTCCAGTGTTGCTAAGAGTTCAATAATTATAACTTAAGGCTAAATGAGTTCGTAAGACACCAATATTAGAAACTTAAAAGGTAAAATATATTTTTTTTATATTGCGATATATCGTATCACTTTGCAACTATCGATAAAAAGTCTATTGATTGAATCTATAGAGGCCAAACGCTAACACACTTTGATGTCTTTTGAATACTTTAATCATTTCTAAAAAAACCAAGTTTAAAGCTGCAGTGAGGGTATCCCGTAGTCGATCATAGCCGACCAAATCACTGTTATTTGTTTATTTATATGGCATTTTTGTCTCTAGTTGTTTCCATTAGCGCTTCCTGCCCAGTGCCCACTGTACATAGCCAAACTCTAAAACAAAACGTTTAAGTCGCAATTCTAAATGAAATTTTTAAACTATTTATAAATGTTTTTTCAACTGAAGTTACAAGAGCTAATGCATATTTATTATTTTACCCATGTTCCCCTCCACTCTCTCTCTCTCTCCCACTCCCACTCTCTCTGTGTGTCGCTCTCTCTTTCTGTGTCACTATAGAGCCATCCGTGCACCTCGGGCTTTCTGAGTCCGCCCACCTCGGCTAGCCGCCGTCCCTCGGTTATGTTCAATGAGTACGTGTTGCTGCATACGCCGCCAGCTTTGAGCAGCGAGCCAACAGCAGCAGCAGCAGCAGCCGTCACAACAACAGCAACAGTTGTAGCAACAACAACATCAGCAGCAGCAACAACCACAGCTGCAGCAGCAATAACCACAGCAACAACCAACAATGTCAGCAGCAGCGGCAACATTCACTCCATGGAAAAGATGACACAGGCAGGTGACGGCAGCATTTGGCAGGTGAGTGTTGAGGGCGTGGCATCGACTTATTTAAAATCGACTTATTTGAAATCTTTGTGACAGGTGAATCTACCGCAAAGCATCGGCACCATTGCCAATCCGTATGCCGATTGCTCCGAACTGGGTATACACGATGCGATGACCTGTCAAGAGCTTTTAGCATTCTCTGTGGCATTTTCAGCGGCATTGCCGACGGGTCAAAGTACGCTCGAATCGTTTTACTCATCGCTGGCGCGCTGCGATCCGCACACGGTCGAGGCGCTGAACAAGGTGCAGCAGCAGAAGCGTCTGACAGCGGCAACAACAGCCACAGCGACAACTGCAGCAACAGCAGCAGCAGCTGCAACAACAGCAGCAGCAACACCAGCAGCGGCAACACCAGCAACAGTTGCTGCTGCAGCTGATATACTCGACTCGAGTGCGGATTTGCCGGCACCGGCTTTGAGCTTGGAACTGGCCGCTGTCTCGGCTGCCGTGCCCATGGAGAATCGGCGCAAGGAGCGCCAGCAATTGCCCCACAACAACAACAATAACAACAACAACAACAACAACAACAACAACAGCAAAAGCAATCACAGCCGCAACACGGGCGGCGGACAACGTCAACATGGTCGCAGCCACGCCCCCACCGGCAACTACATGGAAGACTATGCCTGCTGCTACGATCTATACCAGAATGCACTCTCGCCCCTCGACGAACGCCAACGTCCACGCTCCCCAGCTCTGCGCCTGCTCATCGCCATCTATCGCTGCCTGATGCGCGTCTGCAGCTGGATCCGTCGCTATATCAAGCGGCTCGTCGAGCACAAATACTTTCAGCAGGGCATCCTCTTGGCCATATTGATCAACACTCTGTCGATGGGCATCGAGTATCACAACCAGCCCGAGGAGCTAACGGCCATTGTTGAGACGAGCAACGTTGTCTTCTCTGGCATCTTTGCCGTCGAGATGTTGCTCAAGGTGGTTGCCGAGGGACCCTTTCGCTACATAGCCAACGGCTTCAATGTCTTCGACGGCATCATCGTCATACTCAGGTGAGCATTCACAGTAGCTGTCATGGCACTCAGCTAATCTTCTCTCTCGCTCTCTTTGCCTCTCAGCGCCATTGAGATATGTCAAACGTTCGCAGGCAATGGCACTGGCGGCGGTGGTTCAGGTCTGTCCGTCCTTCGCACCTTCCGTCTGCTGCGCATCCTCAAACTCGTTCGCTTTATGCCCAATCTGAGGCGGCAATTGTTTGTCATGCTGCGCACCATGGACAATGTTGCTGTCTTCTTCTCATTACTCGTACTCTTTATATTCATATTCAGGTGAGTTCTACTGTAACCAACACACACGCACACACACACACACTCAGACACACACACGAATATATGCATGTGAACTAACAGCAATTGCCTACGGGGTAGGCGTCTGTTGGGCACGCGACTAACACCTCATAAACACCTACCCAACAACAACTGAAACGTAACTGTCAAAGTCAAAGATATCAAATCTATATAAAAAGAACAACAACAACAAGCGTAAACAGAGAGCTCCTGAAAGAAGTTGGCAAGCAGAGGCAAATTGACAGAAGAACGAATCCTGCAGTCGGGCTCAGCACTGAATCATTAATGGAAATGTTTCGATTTGCCCCAAGTTGTTCAAGCGTTAGGCGCGTGTTTTTGTAGTATTGGAGTATATATCCCATGTCTATATAGGCTTATACAAAACTTTAGACTGAAAACGAAGTCTGAGAGTCAACTCTAATCAGACATAATTTGTGTGAATGACGAGTTCAGTTGAAAGAGATATTTTCACTTCGAAGATATGTTCTATATCCCTTCTATATTCCAGCAGTTTAACGAGACTAAAGTCAAGCTAAAAGATAAGTTAAAAAAATCCATCAGAAACGTATAGCTAGGAGCTCTTCAGAGTATTGTATGACATCCTAGATCTCAACTCAAGCCTTTGTAGAGTCTGTGAGACATTAGATTTAAAGTTGGTTGTTATCCCTATTATCACCCTATTGGGCTTTAGCTATATGAATTCGAGCTCTATTTTAGACTCTTCCATTACCAAGAGAGTAAACTATATGATCGAGGTCCATCAAAGTAATCCTTTGTAAACTTCTGTCTGCAATATGAGCTCTGCTTGAAATTCCCTCGATCAAAGTCAAGTACTACATTTCCTTCCAGGAAATATCTGTATCGAAATCTGCGAAAAACCAGCTTCTGCAGTCTCAGCTAATTTCCAGTACGTCAATTTCCAGCGATACTTCTATTTGCCAACTATTTCATGGAGTCCGAGCCGAGCTCAACATCCCATACATATCTACACACACGCATACATACAACATACATATGGATATGTACAGAAATGTATATCGTAATGCTGATGCGCATCCAATTAATACGAAGCGACCCACTGAACCACTAAACCACTGACCCGCCGCATCAGTGACCCACTAAACAGTTGATTGTGTCTTCTTTTTGTTTGCGTTAGTCCACAGCTCTTAGAGCTTCGATAATATGCTGAAGATATGTCTAGTAATCAGCTCGTCTACTATATGACATAGAGTTGCGTAATACTAATCTACTAACTCTTTGCTAGCCTCTCATTAATCCCTCAGTAACCACAGCAGCAACAACAACAACTAATAATGATCTAAGAGAAATAGTTATTAACACGCACACACAGACACACACACACATACGATCACATTCACGACATATATGGAACAGATCGTTCGCATACACGTATGGAGAAGAGACCTCTGCATAGGAACATGTGTGTCTATATATATGTATCTATATATATATATATTCAGTTATATGTTTGTGCAGATGTGCTTCTGCTCTTTCTATCTCTCTCTCTCTCTCTCAATTTCTCTTTCTAATAAGCTCTTGCTATCTCATCAGATACAATGAAAACAATCTCCATTTCACTCTCTTTCTCTCGGTCTGCACACTCACATACACGCATATGCGCTCTCTCTTTGCTCAGATACTTGCATATGCTCGCTATCTTTCTCTCTATAACTCTCTCTCACTTGCTTTCGCAAGCTCTCACTGGCGCTAACTGGCTCTCACTTGCTCTTTCTGCATCTCTTTCTCTATCGCTCTATTCTCTATCTCTCATATGCGATCTCTCTTTGTCTTCGTCTATCCTTCTCTGTCTCTCTCATCCACATTACACATCTCTCACTCTCTTTGCCTCTCTCTTCTCCTTCTTCTTCTGCATCATACAACACTTGAAACTCGCCTCCAAAAACCGTACCAAAACCCTTAAAAAAAACACAAAAAATAGAAACAAAAGTATTTAAATTTTAGCCCTGGTAATAACTGTACTCGTTTTTATGCGTACCATTTGAGTAAACGATTGCGTAAGACTTTCTCTCTCTCTCTATTTCTCTCTCTTTCTCTCTGTTTCTCACATAAACACACACACACATGCAGTTACTCTAACTGTCTCTCTCTTTGTCTGTCTCTCTCTCATTTAAATTAAGTGTACTCGTAATCTCGATTTGTAGTTAGAGTTTTACAATCCAAATTCAAATTCGAATCCAAGTCTAACATCAATTTCAGTCTCTGTTTTCCAACTCTCTCACACACACACACATATTCCCTACCTCACTCTCTGTCTCTCTGTCTTTGTCTTTATATAACACAATTCGTTGCTGCGTTAGTTGTCGTACACTCGCATCGCACACTTAATCTAAACCAAACAAAATAATACACTGAGAAAAACTAAATCGAAGTTAATGTATGCGAGTGATTTTCTACTCTCTCTCTCTCTCTCTCTCTCTCTGTATTTTTATATACCAACTTGTCAACGATTTGTGAGCACCAACAACGAGGCTAGTTCTCTCTCCCCTTCTATCGTTCTCTCTCACTCACTCCCATACGCCTTGCGCTCTTCTACTCGTTACTTTTTCAACTCTTCTCGCTTTTTGTTTACTCGCCACTCGTCACTTGCTACTCTCGCTACTCTCTTTACTCGTCACTCGTCGCCCCATTTATAGGCGCATCTGGTTTGCGTGCTCCCCCAACAGCTCGTTTATTTACTTAACTTATCTCAATTTTTTGTTAACTTCTCACTCGCTACTCGCTGCCAAGAAAACTCTGTTACAAGCCATTTGCCAATTCACTTGTTTGACACAGCCAGCAACAACAGCAACAACACATACAACAATTAGTTAGTTACAAGGCTTAACTAAATGTGTGTCTTAGCTTTCTTAGCGTTTACCAACACTGAACAAACAAACTCGAAATTCCACACGCTTTTCATTTTGCTTAAACAACACAAGAAACAAAACCAAATCGGGAACAACAAAAACAACAATTAGATACCAACAACAACACCAAAAAGTAATAGTGTTTTTAACAATACTAAACGTTAAACCAGTAACTATCAAGTCGTACGCTTATTGTGTAGTTTTGCAGCATACAAACCATAGCTGTATATATATATATATATAAACTTCATATATATCTATATATATATATCTCAATTCTCAACTACTCGTACTACTACATGCTATCTTTCCTATATATTTATATATATATATCTACTATTCAAATTTCCATTTTTAAAACTCTTGATTTTACTTAAATTTAAATCGTAAACTACTACAAAAATACTAAAAATACCGAAAAATACCAAAAATATATATGCAAAAATACCAAAAAAATACTTCAATCGTACATTTTTATTCTAAACCAAAGTTTAGTTAGCTTAGTTGCTCTGTTCTTGAACTAAAAAGTCGTAAACGTTTGCGTAGTTAGAAACCAAAACAAAAACAAAAAATAACAATAAAATCTTAAAAATATCTAAAAAAAAATACTGCAAAATACAGTCACATACTGACACACGTAACACAAGCGACATAGATCACAACAACTGGAATGAAAGAATACTTAGAGTATGTCCACCCTGAAGACCCAATGCCCCACATACTCTCTCTCTCTCCCTCTGCTTCTCACTCTGTCTCGATCTCTCTCTTCTCCCTCTCTCTCTCTCTCTCTCATAAATAAAGCCCGTTTAATAATAAATAGATTTAAACAGAAGAAGCAAAATACTAATAATACCATTCGAATAATACAAATATATTTTCTAACACTACATTTTCCAGCAACTTTTAGTTTCGTTCCGTTCGGTCCGATTTGAGCTTTGAAAGCTCGCCTCTCTACGTGAAAGCTCAAATTAAAAATTCGATATTCGAGTTTTGAGATTTTGAAAAAATTAAATAAATTTTGATTTTCGAATTAACGCTCGCTTGCTGCTCACTTACAGTCACATACTCTCTCTCTCTCTCTCTCTCTCTGTCTCTCTCTCTTTCTTCCTTAACTATCTCTTTATCTCTCTCTATTTCTTTCTCTCTCTCTCACACAATTGCTCTACTCTTAAATATTTTAATACTAAAAATGACTTTAAAACCAAAAAAAAAAACTAAAAATAAAAATCTTAAACTAAAAACTAAAAAAAAAAACACCACAAAAAACCACCACAAAAATATTTAACAACAACATTAATAATAATAATAATTAAAAAAAATACTTACAAGAATATTACCAAAAATATATATATTATCGAAATATAAATGTATATCATATATATATCAAAATACCAAAAAAAAATACAAAAAAAACCATCAATTTAGTATACTCGGCATGAATCTGTTCGGATGTAAATTCTGCGAGAAAATTAATGGAGAGAAGATTTGCGATCGTAAGAATTTCGACAGCCTGCTATGGGCGCTCGTCACAGTGTTTCAGGTAGACCCCATTTGCTATCAGCATAATTTTAACTTATCTAAATATATATATATATATATAAAAATACCAAATAAATACCACTACTACTATACAAAAATATATATAATATATATATATGTGTTTACCACCTAATTTTATGCCATAATCGTAATCTATCGATAACTAACACTTAAATGTTTCAATGAAAACAAAACAAGTTTTTCGTTTTCCTTTTTTTTTATCAAATATCAACAAAATATACCAAGAATAATACCAAGTTGTAAGCATTTTGTTTTGTTTGTCTTACGTTGATATTTGTTTATGGCTTTTGTTGAAGTGTTTTTCGATTTGGTTTGTTCGATAATGTGCCAGGCCTTGCCGATAACCGATTACCGATAACCGATAACAATAACGATAACAATAATTTCGATTATAATTGTTGTGCTTTCTTTTGTGTTCCCAGAAACTAGTGCTCTGTCTCTCCTTCTCTCTCTCTCTCTATATATATATATCTATATTTGTCACTCTGTCTGTCTGTGTGTTCAGTTCTTGTGTGTGTTTCAATTCCAATTTGGCCCGTGAAAACGCCTGCAAAATGGAAAACTTTCCTTGATTTTGTTCTTTCTTGTATTATGTTTGTTTGTTTTTGTTTTCATTCGATTTCGCACTAAGTTGTGGTGTGTAGTCCGTTTGGTGTGGTCTTTATTTTCATTGTGTTCCATTCCATTTCGTTTCGTGCCTGCACGTTTGAGCCTAGTTGATGTGGCATGCCATGTTTTTTTTATGGAGCTACGCGCATACGCATGCCATAGTTGTTTCGCTATTTCTGTATATAGAATTTTCGTTTCTTTATCGTTATCGATCAGCTATCGATTGTATAATTAGCCTAGCTCCTAAGGCAGATATATATATATATATATTCATAAACTGCACAGGTAAGCATACCAGTTGCGTAGAATCGCCTGCCCTTATATATATATCTATATCTATGTATATTTGTTTTTGCAATTACTTTTTTTTGGCTTGCTTAATCGATAATTGTCGATCACACCTACCGCTGTCTGCTCTATGCGCACGCACACACACGCATTAACTCGTTCTACTTTCTAGTCCAACTCTTTGTGTTCACTCGTCGTTTGCCTCTTGTCACACACACACACACACCCGCACTCACACACACTCACATACACACACACACATGTTTTTTATTCTCTCTCTCTCTCTCTCTCTCTCTGTGTTTTTCTCTCTCTCTCTCCCTCTGTCTGTCTAAATATTTGTTACTATCTATGTATGCATCCATGGTACATATCAATTGCTATATAATCTAGACTCTAAGTTGTTTAGAATTTGTATTCTCCCCTCCTCCACTTAACCAAAACCCCCTCACACACACACACACATACAAGCACTCTCAACTCTTAACTGTAAACTATATTCCTCTAAAGAAAACTTTACATATCACATACACATACATACACACACACACATACACACACACATATATATATAATACATATCTAGTACAGTCTCTAGAGTTTATGAGGTTTACAGAATCACTAAAAAAATACCAAAAAAAAACTCTGTAAAATAAAACAGTTTTTTTCTTGCTCAACTTTTTGCTTCATAAAAAAACACGAATATCCCAGTTCTCTATCCACTCTGTACAGAAAAACAGTTATACAACCAATTTTTATCCCAAAGAAATACCCACTTAGCTCCAAGTTTCTTAAAAACTGAGAGTCAACAACAACAACTACAACAACAACAACAACCAATTATACAACAAAATATCTAAAAATTAAACAAATTTTACCTATATATATACATATATATATAAATATAAATATATATATATATAGAATCGTATATTCACAGAAATGCTATATAGTCTATATATACTATATATCTATATATACATATATATATTCCCAATCATATTATCTGAGCCTTTTGCTCTACTTAATCTAATCTTCACTCACACACATATATATATACATATATACATATTTATATATATATGCTCTAGATACACACACAAAAAAAATACTCTCTCTCTAACAAAAAAAAAACTTATATATATGATATATATATAAAACATATATACGTATAAACCTACAGCATACTCGGCATGTATCTGTTTGGCGGTAAGTTTTGTAAATTTTTGGATGAATCCGGACTCGAACGCGAATGCACGTGTCCCGAAATAATCAGCCGACATCCGCAGTGTGAATGCGATCGCAAACACTTCAACAACATTTTGTGGGCCACTGTCACAGTTTTCCAAGTAAGAGCAACCAACAATCAACCAAAACAAACAACATCCATTAAGAGATATACCCACTATATATATATATATATATATATCAACATTATATATATATATACCCAACTGTTTATCTCTAAGTACAAAACAGACAAGCGAAAATATTACCTCTATATATATAATTTTATGTCGAAACATCCAAAGCAGCTGTATCCAAACTTTAACTAGTTCTCTTCTGTTGACTATTTTCTTAGTTTTAGTTTAGTTAATTTCCCCCAGCTAAATCTATACTATATATATATATATATAAACATATCCCTCTAAGCTCTATGTATATCAAGAAGAAGAAAAACTTTACTCGTTTTCCTAGCTTTAGTTGGTTGGCTCTAAAAAGTTCATTCGGTTCGGTTGAGTTTTTCAATTTTTTTTTTGGTTCTTTTCGTAACTTTTACTTAGTTTTCAAATACTTTTTCAATCAGAATGTAGCTGTTAGCTAACTTTATACACACACGCCCATACACCCACATACACACACACACATCTTCGCACCACCACCTTCACACAGGTAATTTTTGAGCGTCTCTCCTTGCTTGAAATTTGTTAAACTTATGGAAAAACATTTGTAAACATTCCGTTTATTGAGGAACTAGTTAATTTTGTCAACAAGTGCGAACTGAGCGCAACTTGAAATTGATTTAAGCCAAACTATTCAGTCACTATGAACCACTGAACCACTGAAACACTGAAACACTGCCAATTGCCATTTGGCTTGGCAGCTCTGAACAATGAACATATTGTACAGCACTTAGTGTGCACTCTATAAGAACTCTCACTTGCTGAACTAGCTCCTCAAATACTCTTTCGCTCTCGCTCTCTCTCTCTCTCTATCTCTATATAATTGTCTCTAGTAAGCCAGCTATCTCGCTCACACACACATAAACACACACAGCTCACGCGCACTTTGAACTCCAACCATTAATCTCTGACAGCTTTGTCTCTTTCTCTTCTTCTCTCGTCTTTGACGTCGCTGTCTTTTAGTTTTATCTTCTCTCTCTCTCTCTCTCTGTGCATTGCTATTTCTTTATATATATATATATATATCTCTCTCTTTCAGTCACACAACCTACACAACTCATTTGTAACATAAACCAAAGTTTCATTTAATTTTTCATGCATGATTTTTCTTCTGAATTGAAAACTTTTTCGTTTTTCTTTTCTTTCCATTTTCATTTTCATTCTTTGAGCTCTATATACACATATACAACTGATCCATATATATATACATATATATATATATATATATATATATATATATATATATATATATATATAAACAGTTTCTTTACGATCCGCTTTTTTTTGGCTTGTTGCCCCGCCCCCACCACGTTACGCCTTCAACAGCTGCTGCTTTGCTCTTCTTCTTCTTCTTGTTCCTCTTCATGTTATTTTCCCCCAAGCTTTGTGGTATCGTTTTATTGTTTTCGTTTTGCGTTTATGCCTAGCTCACGTTTTACAATTGCTTTTTGCTGCTTTTTGCGCTTTTCTAAAAAAATAAAAAAAATACTATATACATACATATATATATATAGAAAAAAATCAAATGTTATTCATGTACAGTCACGACAAAGAAAAAATATATATATTTAAAATTTGAAAAAATACATCAAAAATATACCAAAAAAATATATATAATCGATTTGTATATGAAACCCCATAGCATCAACTATTTATTGGCACGTCGTGTAAAAAAATTAAAAAAAAATCAACAATATATATATATAAAATACCAAAAAAAGTATATATACGAAAAAATACCACTTTTAGTATTTAACAAGAATTTGAATTTATATGCAAGATATTTTTTGCGCGCTTTTGCAGCTCTTTAAAGGAATTTTCATTGTTTAGTTTCCTAATTCTAATTACTCAGTATTTTCTATGGAATTGGAGTTTGTATTTTGAGTTGAAAACGTGTTTTTAATCGAGTGCTTTGCGTTTTTTAAACCACACCACGAATTACAAGTATAATACCATGTACTTTAGATTCGTTCGTTCAATTCAACTTAACTTTTGGGTTACTTACAGTGCGTGTCTCTAATCTTAAGCTCCTTTTCCTTTCCTTTGTTTCGTTTCGTTTCGTTTTGTGATTGTGCTTTCATTTGCCAACTGCTTTTACTGCGCCTTGGCAAACTTTTGTGTTTCATACTCCATGTTGAATGTATTTTTTCTTAATATTTAAGAACTCTAAAAAAAATAATAAAAAAGAAAATACCAAAAACAGATGATATAAGGGCAATAGACTTAAGTTTAAAAAGACTAAAAAATCCCAAAACAATTTTTTTTTAATATTTTATTTTTATTTACTTTTCAAATTAAGTGCTTTAATTTTCATTAAAACTTACTTAAAAAGTTCTTATAATCTTATGTTCGAAATATTAAAAATACCAAAAGCCAACAAGCTAAACATTAAACGCTATATTACTTAACATTTACAATAAATATATATATATACATATATACATATATATATATATATATATATATATATATATATATTTATATATATTTATATCTACCTTATGTATTACCCTAACATATATTGAATTCTATAATATTTATATACATCTATAATAATCGATAACAAAAAGAATGTAAGAAGAAGCAGATATATCTAACACATTTTTTTGGCGTCTTTTTTTGCTTCTCCAACATGATGTATTTTCTTTTATGCTCTCTTTTTTCTTATATACCAACACACACACACACACACACACACACATGTTTATGGTGTTTCGTTCTCTTTTTATGCTTCTTTCGATAACAAATATATATCGTATATATATCGTATATATATGAACGTTAATTGCACCACGTTTTGCCGCCCGCAATCCACCTGCAACTGCAACCAAAAAATAAAAAAAATACCAAACATCAACAACAACAACAAACAAACAACAAAAATGTTTTTAGATACTAACGCAAGAGGATTGGAACGTTGTCCTGTTCAATGGCATGGAAAAGACAAGTCATTGGGCCGCATTGTATTTTGTGGCTCTAATGACATTCGGCAATTATGTGCTGTTTAATTTATTGGTCGCCATTTTGGTTGAGGGATTCAGTTCAGAGGTAGAGTTTTGCCAACATCAACTAATTACGAAAATACTAAAAAATACTGCAAATACTAAACAAATTATAATTGACTTTCCTTTTCTTTGACCACATTGGTCATCGTTTCACTATCTTCATTCATTCAATGTCCTTTAGTCGAAACGATAACCAGGTCAAGTTTATCGATCAATTTTTCAATTGCTCTTTAAAATCGATAAATAATACTATTTCAGCTCTTGCTCTATTTTGATTTTCTACTAAAACCTGCTTTCACTTAAGCTCTATAGTAAATTTCAATTCTCTAACTTATCGATAAATTATCGACTTACAGTAACTTAACAATCTATCGATTCTTGCTGTCTTTTATGATTTCCTATTTAACTTTTCAAAAAATAACACTTGAAATTTATATCGATAACTAATCGATAATCGATTAACAACGAAGCAAACAAAACAATGTTTCAATTATTGCTCAAATTTGATAATTCTCTAAGCTTCGATATGTTATCGATATATATAGAAAAGTAAATCAGATGTTCAATAAGTTCGATAAACGATAATTGAGACACTGTCTTGAAGCGAAAACAATAGCTCGCGCAAACGATAGACAGCATCGATAATGATAACGATAACGATAACGTTGACGAAAAAGTCTAATTTTGAAATTTTGATTCCCTCAGCGAAATGAACGTCGCGAGCGCGAACAACGCGAATTGGTAAAAAAACTGCGCGAAGAGACATTGGCCGAAAATTATAGCGATGGTATGTACGATGAATCACGCAGCGAAGCGGATTCATCAACCACAAACGATAGTTACTACGAAGTACGCAATCGCTGGCGCAGTGCTGAGGATGTGCGCAAGGTAAGTGAAAGAGAGAATCGAATCGAAAAGAGAGAGAGAGAGTGGGCGAGGGAGAGCGAAAGCTCAAGCTCGACTCTGTGCCACGCACTGACTGCAAGAGTGAGTGAGATAGCATGCATGTGGTTGTGAGTATTAGTGAGTGAGAGAGTGTAAATGAGTGAGTGCGTGTGCCCTCAAGAGTCCATCACGGTATGTATCCGTAGTCTATTGTTGAACCATCAGCATACATCATCGATTGTTATCGCTCATCGTCTATCGTCTATCGTCACTTTAGCAGCTGCAGGAATCAGCCGAGCTGAACATCGAAACCAAGAGCAATATTCATCGCCAGCGTCTGCTGCAGCCCATTCAGGATTATCAAATCAACGAGCTGCCCGCCCAAGGCGCCAGTTCTGCCTCGCTTGGCAATGCCGGCGACAAGGAGGGCGACGCTAAGCCACGCGGTGGCCTCAAAAAGGTAAGTGAGCTCGCTCAACTTCTAGTTAGAAGAAGATGTAGAAGACGATCAACATCAAGCCACATATCCAACCGACCTCCACTTGTACGACAGACATACTCGATCAAGGAGCGACGCAGCGAGGCGCCACGAATATCGAAAATGCGACTCATACGCGATCCACCGCTCATCACAACCACAGCGGCCACGCCTCAAGATTCGCCCAGCACCACAATGGAGCCGGGCATGAGTTTCCGCCAATGGGGCGACATGGAGGTGAGTTACGCCAAGTCAAAATTCTTATTTGAAAACTAGATTTCATTCTTATACATTCTTTGGCTTATCGATAAATATCGATGTAGGCTCTTGATACTTTTAGCATAACTCGAAGATTTTTCAAGATAGAAAATTAAAGTTTGGAATATAGATTTGTGTAAGGTATATAGGGATGAAAAGGAATTCTTTTTTGACTATATAATCCTGATCAACTTGAAAATCCCTAAGACGCGAGCTGTCCCTGTTTGAGACTTGGGTTTTGAGGCAGACTTTGGTAAACAGATTTGTGTGAAGCAAGCACAGATTAAAAAGATTCATTCCTAATATAGGAATTGTGGAATATTTAAGCTTGGTTTTTATTAGCATAACTCAAAGACTATACGAGAGAAATATATAAGACTTGGTATAGAGGCTCGTGTGAAACAAATACACAATTAAGTTATTGCTTTTCGATATATATATACGAAATCTACTACTTCCTAGTATGGGAACTATGTGATTTTGAGATTTGGTTACTTAGCATAACTCGAAGACTTTAAGTGTTAGGCACATTCAACTTGGTAGATAGATAGATAGCATTCTAATGAGCTTATACAGAATGTGAATAAAGAATAATGAATCTGAATGTAAGTAACTGACCTTGTAGCCTATCAATTGAACCTAACGGAACATATATAACTGTAGAAACACACATCATTTCGATAGTAAGTCTAAGCTCTTGCTTAATATTTACTAATGCCTGTCGCTTATGCCGCAGCCCGTGCCACCGTCGCCGTCGCTGCTGAAGCCACCGAACATTTTCAGCGGTGGGCAGCGGACTCTCGACGAGGGCATCCCGGCCATAGATCTCATACCGCCATCGCCGGTGCTGGCGCACAAGCCGCTCAACATACTGAATGCCAGCCAGTTGCAGGGACATGCGGGAGCTGTGAGCGGTCTGGGTGGTGCAGGTGTTGGTGCTGGTGGTGGCGGCGGTGCTGGTGTGGCTGGGTTCAGTGCTGGTGGTGCTGCTGGCAGCTCCAGCTTATCCAGTGGCAGCAGCAATCAGCTGAGCAGCCTTTTGCCCAGCGCCCTGACCAGCAGCATGCACAGCGTCATCATCGATGACATCTCCAAGAATTCCAGCACAGCTGCCGCAGCCCCGCCCATCTATGTGCCCACCATATCATCGGCGGCATCGACACTGCAGCCACCGACCGAGAGCCACAGCCACAGCCTCAATCTATCCGAACTGTCGCTCAGCTCGGCTGTGGGCGGCGCCGGTGGCAGCGTTGCCTCCACCAGCGGCAGCTCATCCAGCGAACGTTTGCCGCTGGCACCGCCGAGCAGCTTCAAGCAGCGCTTCCGTCGCTCCAGCTCCAAGAAGCGGCCGAGCACACAGCGCGCCGACGAGCAGCACCTTGGCGACGAGGAGGAGCCACAGCTGAACAATGGCAGTGGCGACAACAGCTATTTGCTGCGCAGCAGCTCGGCCATGGCAGCTGGCGCTACAGGTGCCAAGGACACGAATCGCCTGAGTCCACAGAACTCGATACGTCGCTTGTCCAATACGCTGAGCATCGGCAGCGGTCCGGGCAGTCGACGCGCCTCGGCCTGCATCTTCAACTCGCAGGTCTATCAGAATCTCAACCAGCCGCCCAAGCTGAGACCGGGCGCTGGCCAGCGACGCATGAGCTCCATTGAGCTGGCGTTCAGCAAGACATCGCACTTGAATCTCCACAATCTGGAGGCGAACCGCAAATCGTTGTCGTACACCAATTCGAAAATCGATCTGGACAAATGGCAAAAGTCCTACATGACCCTCAACGAACCGGACATGCTGCAACAGTATATGGAGGCGCGGGACAAGCGCAAGAACTCCATCAGCCATTACAATCTGAAGAAGCGACTCGAGGAGAAGGAGTTGCAACAGCTACAGCAGCTGCATCAGCAGCAATTGCAACAGCAGCAGCAGCAACAGCAGCAGCAGCCACAGCATCCGCAGCAACTCGAATCACAGCTGCCGCCACAGCAGCTGGCCAAGGAGCTGCAGCTGCTGTCTATGCAACGACATTCCATGGTGCCGTGCGGCTCTAGCGGGGAGCACGTCTCGAAGCTCAAGATGCTGATACAGCGCCTGACGCCCAAGCACTTTACCGCCGAACGTGACTCCTACTCCATGTACGTCTTTCCGGAGGATAACAGGTGCGTCGAGTCTCAAGTGCTAATGGTAAAACTAAAACTGATCTTGACGAGAGCTTTGAAATTGTCCTGTAAAGCAAGTTCAATGTGAGCTTTCAGAGAGTTTATATAAGCTTCAATGAACTATCCACACGAACTTCAAAAAAGCTTTAATAAAGCTTTCGGTTGCTTAAAGTTCGTTTTAATGCGAGCTTTAATAAGCTTATGGACTGAATCAGAGCTTTCACGTTCACACTTCCATTGAAAGCTTTCATTATTGCTGTTGAGCTCAAAGCTCTTAATAAGCCACTCTCTGCGGTACTTTAAAGTCTTTTGAAAGCTCAACTACGAAGCACATGAAACACATTTCCTATTCACTAAATCAAATGCTACAAATTTTCGTCATTCATTTAACAATTTTCCAATTGACTTTTGCCATAGCTACAAACTTGAGTGTCCTTCAGTTTGTCGCACGTTTCACAGTTCGATTTCATTTTCAATTTTCGTTCCTGATTTGTGCATCGGAAAAGCTGTAATTCAATTATACAACTTTGTTGCAATACGAGCTGATGCCCTCTCTGCTTTTGGGTTTGTCAACAGGTTCCGGCAGATCTGCACGTGGTTCGTGAACCAAAAGTGGTTCGACAATGTTGTGCTGCTCTTTATAGCGCTCAACTGCATAACTCTAGCCATGGAAAGACCAAACATCCCTCCAAGCAGCACCGAACGAGTGTTCCTAGCAACAGCCAACTACGTGTTCACCGTCGTCTTTACTGTCGAAATGTTCATTAAGGTAAGTTTATGCCAGTTCAACTAGCAGTAACAGTACACTCAGCGAAAAATAGTAGAGAGAGCTCTAAATATATGCTATATGATCATATATGATATATGATATATGATATATGATATATGATATATGATATATGATATATGATATATGATATATGATATATGATATATGATATATGATATATGATATATGATATATGATATATGATATATGATATGATATATGATATATGATATATGATATATGATATATGATATATGATATATGATATATGATATATGATATATGATATATGATATATGATATATGATATATGATATATGATATATGATATATGATATATGATATATGATATATGATATATGATATATGATATATGATATATGATATATGATATATGATATATGATATATGATATATGATATATGATATATGATATATGATATGATATATGATATATGATATATGATATATGATATATGATATATGATATATGATATATGATATATGATATATGATATATGATATATGATATATGATATATGATATATGATATATGATATATGATATATGATATATGATATATGATACTAGCTTCAAGAGGAACAACTGAACCAAATTTCAGCTAAATAGCTACACCGAGAAGCTAGTTCGCATAGGTCAGCTATCATACGTAAGGTAAACAGTTACTGTGACTATTTCGAGTCGGAAGCCAAACTTGTCACCTGAAAATTGAGTCGTATCTCTCATCTATCCTAGCAGTTTCGCTGAGTGTATTGTGCATTTTGTGATTTGTAATTGAATTTTGGGTATTGATGAAGTTTGATTGCATTCGCAGGTAGTTGCCACGGGCATGTTTTATGGCCCGGATGCATATTTCACATCCGGCTGGAATATAATGGATGGATCTTTGGTTACAATTTCGATAATTGATTTGTTAATGTCATTGATTAGCGAGTCGAGCCCGAGGATATTTGGGATTTTAAGGGTAAGTTTGTAAGTGGGCCGGCGTGGCAAAACAAAAAACGTGGCATCGAAATGCCAACAGCGACTGCCACATGCCACATGCCACATGCAGCATGCAACTGAATGCAGCGCCCAACAAATGTGCGAGCCACAAATTCAACAACTCGAACCACGCACCACGCAAAATATTCAAAAAGCCAAAAAAAAAAAAAAAACAAGATCAAATCAGCTGCGGAATCATTAAAAACCAAAAAACTAGAAACGCTAAGAAAAGCTCTAGCAGTTGCTCGCTCGCTCGCTCGCTCGTTCGTTCGCTCTCTCGCTCTTCTCTCTCTCTCTCTCTCTCTTTCTGTCTTTCTCTCTCTCTATCTTTCTCTCTTTAGCTAACTTTGTTTCTTATTATATTGCTATCGCTATCTCTGTCTAACGCACACATCTCTCGTCTCGTCTCGCCTACTGCGCACACAAATCTTTCTACAACTCTCTCTCTCTCTCTGAAATTCTATCTTTCTCTCTGTCTTTCTCTCTCTCTCTTCATATATATATACTTGTGCATATATATATATATATGACTCTATTGTATTTGAATTGGGTATTCGTATCTTAATCTTAACATTAACCAAAAAAAAAACCAATCTGCAGGTAAATTCTCGCTGCTATATCACTTAATGGCAAACCAATATCTAAAGCATTAATCCAATTTTTTGTCTGTGTGTGTGTGTAGAGTCCCTTAAAAACTGTTAATACCCTTTCCAAATATGTAAAACGTTGGCCTCTCCCTCATGCTATAGCTCTTTGTATATATGTATCTATCTATATTTGTTAACGATAAGATTTGCATTGCTTTAAGACTTGGTCATGCCTCAACCACGCACAACTTTCGCTTATAAACGCAACATAACCTCACATTTGCAAAATTCACCTATCGGAGTTGTAAGCTCTTTGAAACTTTGCCTAGAAATTAAGGTGAAAGATTAAACTAATCCAGAGTTTTATTCCACATTTTCCGTTTACAATACGTTTTATACTACAAATCGTGTCTTTTAAAATCTAAAACAGATCTTACGGCTCCGATATTGTCAAACTAAAGTTTAAACCTACATTTGCATCAAATAAGTTTACTTTTAGTGCTATTCTGCATATTTATCAGTGTTCCATTTCCATTTGTTTCATGTTGTAAAATCTACTTTATCATTTTTTTTAGCATAAATTCCGCTCCTACCCTATGCAGCTTCAGCCTCATTACTACTATGATTAAAAATTGTCATAGTTCCGATTCCGATTGTTTCATGTGATAATATCATTGTTGTTAGTCCAAATTCCACATGTCCCTTGGCTATTACCGCCCCTTCTTACCTTATAACCCTTTGCATTGCAATTATACATAATGATCATTGTTTCAATTCCATGTGTTTCAAGTTGTTAAGCTTTTTATATCATTGTTTATTTCAACCCCCCTTTAAATATCAGCTTTTTATAATATAATCAATTATACTCTACATTCAAAAACCCAATTCCACTCGTTCCAACCCATAACTTCAGCTTTACAATTTTTCAATATGCGTAAGCTGTTTCATCTACTACTCCATTGCATTTTCTTGCCATACCATTTTCATTTGTTCTTATCAATCTGTCCCAGTTCCGCTCGTTCCTCATCATAAAGCATCAATTATACACCAAATCAATTGCACTACATACAGCTTTCACCAGCCTTGCATTAACCGCCTCACTCATTCCCATTTCCATTCGTTCCATGCCATTGTGCAAATGACATTTTGAAAGTTTACCAGCTAGTGTCATTTGCTGTTCACATCATTATCGAATTGAATACACGTTTGGAATACCAAATCGTTTCATTATTAGCGTGTTTCAAATTCCAAATCGTTTCTTCTTCAATATAAATATATATTTCCCGTAAAGCTCAAGTAGCTCGAATCTATGGTAGCATTCAAGTGTTCCATTATCATCATGTTGCTTTGCCTTGTTTTGTTTTTTGTGTTGTTCCAATTCCAGTCGTTTCAGTTGCTATAGCCGCTTCACACTGTGATGCGACAACGAATCGTCGTTCTTAAACGAAATTCGAAATAGATCAATTGAAATCGAACTAATACTGATTCATGCATGTTCCAAACCCAATTGTTGTTCGCAGGTGTTTCGTCTACTTCGTTCCCTACGGCCGCTGCGTGTGATCAACCGAGCGCCGGGTCTGAAACTAGTCGTTCAAACGCTCTTATCATCCCTGCGTCCCATCGGGAATATCGTGCTGATCTGTTGCACCTTCTTCATCATCTTTGGCATCCTCGGCGTCCAGCTGTTCAAGGGCACCTTCTTCTACTGCGAGGGCGAGAACATTAAGAACGTACGAAACGCCGACGAGTGCCGTCGCATACCGGGCAACGTCTGGACGAATCGCAAATATAATTTCGATGATCTTGGCAAGGCACTGATGTCCCTCTTCGTGCTCAGCTCCCGCGATGGCTGGGTCAACATCATGTACACGGGCCTCGATGCCGTCGGCGTTGATCAACAGCCGATCGTCAACTACAACGAATGGCGCCTGCTCTACTTCATAGCGTTCATATTGCTGGTCGGCTTCTTTGTGCTGAACATGTTTGTGGGCGTGGTCGTCGAGAACTTCCATCGATGCCGCGAAGAGCAAGAGAAGGAGGAGAAAATCCGACGAGCCGCCAAGCGTGCGCTACAAATGGAAAAGAAACGCCGACGCATGCACGAGCCGCCCTACTACACTAACTATTCGCCCACCCGAATGTTCGTGCACAATGTGGTCACGTCGAAGTACTTCGACCTGGCCATAGCCGCCGTGATTGGACTGAATGTCGTCACCATGGCCATGGAGTATTACAAGATGCCCATGGTGCTGCAATACGCTCTGAAGATCTTCAACTATTTCTTCACAGCCGTCTTCATACTCGAGGCAAACATGAAGCTGGTGGCACTGGGCTGGCGTCTCTATCTGAAGGATCGCTGGAATCAGTTGGACGTGGGCATTGTCCTCCTCTCGATAGTGGGCATTGTCCTCGAGGAGCTGGAAACGAACATAATACCCATAAATCCGACGATAATACGAGTGATGCGTGTGCTCCGCATCGCACGGGTCCTCAAGCTATTGAAGATGGCCAAGGGCATACGTGCTCTATTGGACACCGTTATGCAGGCCCTGCCCCAGGTGGGTAACTTGGGCCTGCTCTTCTTCTTGCTGTTCTTCATATTTGCGGCGCTGGGCGTGGAGCTGTTTGGCCGGCTCGAATGCTCCGATGAGATACCCTGCCAGGGACTCGGCGAGCACGCGCACTTCGCCAACTTTGGCATGGCTTTCCTCACATTGTTTCGCGTAGCGACTGGCGACAACTGGAACGGCATCATGAAGGACACGCTGAGGGATAACTGTGATGACGCCGCCGATTGCGTGCGCAATTGCTGCGTCAGCTCATTTATTGCTCCCATATTCTTTGTGATATTCGTTCTTATGGCGCAATTCGTTTTGGTGAACGTCGTGGTGGCTGTTTTGATGAAACATCTCGAGGAGAGCCACAAGCAAATGGAAGACGAGCTCGACATGGAAGTGGAGCTGGAGCGCGAACTGGTGCGCGAACAGGAATTTGCCCAGGAGCAAAAACTGTGCCAGCAGCTGGCGGAGGCGCAGGCCAAGCTGCCAGCACCGCCCAGACCCTTGGCCAAGGTCAAATCCCTGCCCAAGAACTTCATCTATAGCACACCGTCGCTGGAAAAGAAATTCCCGAGCGTCAGTCTAACTGGCAGCACCGCCAACAACATAGCCGCTGGCGCAGGCCAACGTCGCCAGACCGTACAATACTTCAATCAGCAACAACAACAACAACACCAACAGCAGCAGCAACAACAACAATTGAGCCTGGCCGAAATGGGCAGCGCGCTGACGCCTCAGAGCTTGAGCGCTCGGCTGGGCGAGCCCTTTGGCGGCGCCATGACGGCAGCTGGAAGTGGTCCGGGCTCAGAGCTGCTGGGCTTGCAGCTGCCGCCATTGGGCCGACGCGGGCGACGCGCCTCGGCCGCCGCTGGCTTCCGCAAGCGCGGCGTGCTGTCCAAGGAACGTTCGCTCGACGAGCAGGCCATCAGGCGACGCAATCTGGAGGCGAAACGCACCAGTTGCGATTCATTGCCGTGGGGCGGCGATGCGCTCGACTACCGACGCGGCACCATATTCGAGAGCCTCGAATCGGATCCCGCCTCCAGCTATGATCTGGATGTGCGTAGCATACGCAGCGCTGAGGTCTCCAGGCCGCGCGACGATGACGAGACGCTGGAACCACTAGCCGTGGTCAGTGCTCTAATACAGCCGATGGCAACGCCATCGTCGCCCCCTATTACAACAGCCACGCCCACGCCCATGCCAACGCCAACGTCTACGCCCATGCCCCAACCCCAGCCACAGCCACAGACACAGCCACAGCCACAGCAACCACGGCGGCCCTTTGGCTGGTCACAGTCGGTGGATCAAGGCTGCCTGCTTGGCCCCGGTGGACGCAGCAGCTTGCTGCTCTCGGTGCCACGTTCGATGCCCCCTCGCAGTCGCAGCGGCAGCACGAAGCAGCTCTTCAAGCAGCAGGCGCTCGATGAGGACGCCGACATGGATGAGAACTCGCTGCTGTTGCCCGCCACGCATCAGGCAGCAACAGTTGCTCCCAGCACCCACTCGGAGCACCCAACGGCAGCGGCAGCGGCAGCGGCAGCAGCAGCGAGCGACGTTGACGGCGACATCGATGTCGTCGACGTCAGCAGCGCAGCGGGCCTAAGCAAATCCGATTCAGCGGACATCATGCGCATCATCAGCGAGCGCAGACGCATGGATCAGCGGGATCAGTGCGGCAACGAGGACAGCGACTACAATGAGCTCCTGCTGGTCAAGTCGCCGCAATCCTCAACGGACTAAGCGCTCACTCTCGTCTGTCTCTCTCTCCCTCTCTTTCTTTCTCTTTCTCTCTCTCTCTGTCACACACACAAACACACTGTAAAGCAGGCCTTACTATAAGTAATTTTAAGCACTATCGATAAACGATAACACGATAACACGAAGCTAGCCTGTTAGCATAAGCATATATCCCCGTCCCCCACCCTCTCACAATCTCTAAATTAGATCGATAAACGATAACAAATACCCAGAAGCACACATATATCAATATCACTCTCAGTCAATCACACAATTCTTTTACAGAGAGACACGCACGACAGAAAGATAAGCACTATCGATAAACGATAACATCAAGCAAGCCCATATACATATATATATCCCGCCACTATCACAAATTTATTCAACAACTGTCTCCCTCTCTCTCACACATACCTTAAAGCAGGCTTGCCGCGAGAGTATTTCCCGAGCATTTAAAGATTATCGATAAGTCGATAACACATAGCAAGCCTGTTAGCAGAAATACTTATATCTTTCTCTCACTCTCTGACGTGCTCTCGCTGACATAGAGGCTTGCTAAAAGAGAGTTCCATGCGCATTTAAGCATTATCGATAGGTCGATAAATAATTTACGGTATAAACAGAAGCAAGTCTGTTGGCATGCACAAGCATCTCCCCCTCTCATACACTCTCTCACTCACACTATAACTTTAGGGAATTTTCCAAGTGCTCAGTTTGAAGAAGGCAAACGAAACCGGAAGAAATAATAAGAAGAAAAAGAAAGAAACAGAAACTAAAGCGTTAGCTCTTAGGCAATAACGATTAACGATAAACATTACTCACTAGAGTATAGGCGTTTAACTGTAACTATAAATGTAACTGTAACTCTACAAACTAACTGTAACGATAACGATAACGGTAACGGTAATGGTAACGATAACGATAACGATAACGATAACAATTACGATAGCTACTCATCGAGCGTTCTCTACCAAAAACAAAACAAACAACAACTTGTCAACTGTTTTTAGTGCAATCTACGGTTTTCATAAGTTTAGCAGAAACAAAAACAAATTTGAAAAGAAAAACATAAAAAATACTACAAATATACCACAAAATTAAGAATACTAAACCAAAATCGTTGCTTAGAGCGTTTTCCGTTTCAACCACAACAAGTTACAAGAAAAAGCTGATTTATGATGATTATATAGAACTATATATACATATATATATATATATACAAGAGTTATATACACAGTTATACACAACAACTATATATATATATATATATATATATATATATATATATATATATGTATATCTATGGATATTGTGAAGAGAAATATATATATATATATATAAGCATATATATATCTATATATATAATGAAAAAAATCATCAACTCTGTGATTAGCTCTTAAAGTTTAAAAAGATTTATATGAAAAGAAGAGGAAGACGAATGAGAAGAAGGGGAAGGGGAAGAATAAACAAGTGAAATACTAGAGTATGTACATAGAGATCATTGGATATGGATCACACATATACTATATATGTTGTCTGGTATTTTATGTAGTCTACTATTATTATGGATGCAGTATTTAGTATAACAAGTACATACACAATGGATAAGCAATAGCAAAACTTTTTTTAGCTCGTTAAGATGGTATAAACTAACTTTAAACGAAACGAAACATACTAAAATACCAACAAAACAAACAAAAATACTATGAAAATACCTAAATAATACCGAAATGTTGCCACTTTATGCATGAAAGAAACAAAAAAATATATAACAAAAAATACGAATTTACATAGGTACTTAACACACTCACACACACACACACACACACACACACACAGACAGCAGCAGCAGCAGCAGCAGCTGGCTTGCTCATTTTAGACAATCTTTCGTACACCTCTAGCGCGCTCTCTTTCTGGCCTTAACCCTAGCGCTGTCTCAACTATCGCTCATTTACACACAAATTGTGCCAAAATATAAAAAATACTTTAAATATACTAAAAAAACACAGACACACAGAGTAAGGGTAATTAGTGTACGTTAACTTGTTTCTGTAGTCCAAAACGAAATTCGGTAATTATTCACATTTAAGCGAAAAGCTACGGAAAATACCGAAAAATACTAAAATATTATAAAAATACTAGAAAAATAACTACAAATTGGCGAAAAATATTTACACCAAATACCGAAACTTCAAAAGGTACCGAAGCTACCAAAATTACTGATAATATCTAGAAATTGGCTAATGTCAAAAATACCTATTATAAAAAGATACCGAAAATATGTAAGCAAATCAGAGGGAAATATACACAACCAAAAATACAAAACGCCAATACAGAAAAAATACTGAAAAATTGGCTAAGACAAAATCCCTATGCAGACTAAACACAATTTTTTTTTCTTAGTGTAGCTTATAGAAAACGTAGAATCAACTTTGTTGTCTGTATATTGATATACATATATATATATATATACTGTATATATATATATATATATATATATATATATACGGTAAGCCGACTTCAATTGGTAAACTGAAGAACTTTATGGCGTAGCATTTATAAAAAGTAGTAGAAATTTACAATAAAAGAAGAAAATACTGTAGCAATCGCGCACTATATAGCGTATATAGTATATATATATATCGTTTATATATATATATATAAATATATATGTATGTATATGTGTGTGTATATATAAATTTAATGTGAAACTATCAACGAATTACCATAGCTAAGCCAAAGAGAAGGAAGAAAGCTAGCTGAGCTCTTTTTAACGCAAGTTCTAAAAAGAAGAAAATTAAAAAATAAATTCGAACTTAGAAATGTAGGAAGGAAAAACTGTCAATTTAGTAGCATGATCTTAAAGAAGGGGAGGAAGTAGTACTAGTAGATGAAGGAGAAGAAACGCATTTGTACACTCTTTGTAACATCGTTAAGTCGATAGTTCGATAACAAGACACAAATGCCCAAATTTAGAAAAACTTTTGACACAACAACAACAAAAACTGCAAATGCAACAAATCGAACTTAGAAAATCCGAACACAAAATTTAATTATGTAATAATTTCATCTGTGCCTTTCTCTATGAATATATATATCGATATATATATATATAATTATGTATATATATATATATATATATATATTGAGCTCTATGTATATAAACACTAAATACAAATTATGATATATACTTAACTACTTTACTATATACTAAATATATACTTCACATGTGCTCTTCTTTACAAACTCTTTCTATCTCTCTATCTCTCACTCTGGCTGTCAATAAATGTATCGATAGCTTATCGATAATTGAATCAGTGTCAGCAGAGACTGTAAACAGCGCAAGCTACCATTTCTCTGCGTCTATATAAATATCAGTCGCTCTTTATCTCAATTGATCTAGCTATCAAATAAATCGATAAAGTTATCGATAACACAAATGAGAGAAATCTGTTCAGATTTCCCTAGTAACCGACAAATTGAAGCCAACTGCTTTCTCCGCGAAACTCTTAGCAAACAGTTTGACCAGCTGTTAAAAATTTAACATGCAATTTGCATGTTGCAAAGCTTTTATTGACTTTGTCAAGTTTAAGTTTCAATATCGATTGCCTGCAAATTTAAGCCCAACAGGAATAACTGTGAAAGTCAATTGATAAACAAATCTTTTCAAATAACAATAACAATAAGTGAATAACAGACAAACACACAGAGACACTCTCTCTCCCCCCCTATCTCCCTATCTCCCTCTCCCTCTCTTCCTCGCCTCTCTCACTCTTCCATACACTTAACACATCAATTTACTTCAAGTTATGTTTTTAGTTTCATCTGCTTCGGTTTAACATCTATTTTATTGAGCTAAAAAAAGTTATAAACAACATTTAAACAAATAAAATTTTTTTTGTCTTGTTGATTAATAATTAGGTAAAAAATAAAGGCAGAAAAGAATTAGAAAAAAGTTTGCATACGCAAGAACTATATAGAAATTTGAATTGAAAAACAAAAAAAAAAACATAAAAATATAAATAAAAATATTTGAATTTGCTTTTAGCCAAATGAAATAATCAAAAAAAATTAATTATGTAAATGTTGAAAAAAAAAACAAAAAAAAAACAAAAAGTGAGTTAAAAAATTGAGCACTTTCAGCCTGTCCCTAGTTATAAAAAGTAATAACCACAAAACTAAAGGTAAAGAACAAAACAAAAAACAGTTAAAACAGTAACAAAAATCATTTGAAAACATAAATAAATAAATAATAATTAATAGTTGTACAATATGGTTGAAACTACCACAGAAATCGCTCTACAAATGCCTCTAATACACACACACATGCACACGTGCACACATATACACTCACACACACACACACACACATATATTTAAATATGTATATAAGCAAAACAAAGAGCATTATGAATTAAACAGAAATTTTGAAAAGAATTTAGAATATTGATTGATTTTATTTATTACGCAAGTGGCGCCATCTAGAGCACGGCGGCGGCAGTTGTCACATGGCAAGCACTGCTTGTCGCCTGCTTGCAAGCAGACAGACATGCAGACGGCAGTGTGTTATCTTTTGAATTGCTTTGTCAACGGTCGTTAAAGTTCAACCAAGGTGTGTCCGCTTCATCGAATACCTCGCAAATATTGAAATCAGGATATATGCGCAACTTATAAAAAACTTTGCTCTGCTTGTAAGTATGTTTATTTCTACTTGTTAATGTTAATGGCATTGCTTTGATAGGTACCTGGCAGGTAAGTACATCATCATATGATCATATATATTAAGATTTAATGCCTTAAAGGTATGTATCATACAGTCCGTTTTTATATAAATGGCTATTCATGGGCTTTTGGTCCATTTACAGGTTATTCAATGGCCGAGCATACTCGCCCAGCCACATTCTCCGCTTCTCATCTTTCTTTTCTTTTCCCGCCCAGCCGCTTGCTTTTATTAATGGCTGAATGACAATGCATTTTTCTGTGGACTCTCTTGGGCTTTGTTTTACGCAAAATTTTCTCTTTGTTGCATAAGAGCGAACCTATTACCACGCCCCTCCCCCCTCTGCCCATATTGCCCTGCATCCCGCTAAAGACAAGTGAAAATATTTTGGCGCCGCTTTTATAACAACAAAGATCTGCCTACCCACCTCAACACCTGCCCACCTGTCCACCTGCCAACCCCTGCACCCCACAGCCGCTCACCCCCTCCCACTCCACTGACACTGACAATGACAGTTGTCTTTACACCCCCTCCCCCAACCCCTACTCCAGCCCCTCTGCCTGCCGCACTGCCCCTATCAGCGTAGCAGAGATTTGAGGCAATCGACGCTCATTTGCCTTCTGTCTTGACTCGACTCGGCTCGAGTCGCGTTCGCGTTTGCGTTTTTAATTAACGGCGCTTTTTTCCTATTGCTTCATGAAAGATTGCAAATGAAGTAATTATCAAAAAAATGAATAAAAGAAGCAGCAGAAGAGACCAAGCGACAAATTAAAAAAAAAACGGTCAAACATAAATGCCGAAGATGAGCAAAAGATATAAAACAACAACAACAACAACAGGTAACATAACTTCAGTTACGACGTAAGAAAAAATAACGGCATTTGATTCAGTTTTCAGCTAGAGTAGTTCCAGTTGTTGTTGTTGTATTGCTGAACGTTTTCCTTGGCGTGAAATGCGTTCATGGTCAAAGTGTCAAACGTGATGTAACGGTACTTTATTCACTGACCCCAAACGAAGAGGTAGAGTGAAGGAGAAAGAGAGAGAGAGAGAGAGAGAGTTAGTGAAAAAGAGGGAGAACGATAAAGAGACAAAGAGAGGATAGGGAACATTGAGAAAGGCAGTAGGAAAGATGAGTAGAGACAGAGAGAGAGAGAGAGAAGAAGCGACAGAGTTAGAAAAGGAGAACAGAGCAAAAGATGGAGGGTATGAGAGACATGGAGATAGGGGCACTCTGAAAGAGAATGAGACTATGAGAACAAATGGGAAGAAGCGTAAGAGATATATAGAAGCGGGGCAGCAGAGAGAGTGAGAGAGAAGGAGGAGTAAGACAGTAAGTGAGAGTGATCAATAGAAAGGGGAAGATAGACGAGCTTCATTCAGAATGAGGGTGATTGATACAAATACAATTGATCTATGATCGATTAATATCGCAATGTTATCGAAATGAGCTGGCAATAAGTTGCTCGAAGCTCTGCATAAGAGCGATTCTGCAACCTCAGCCCTGTCATCGAATATGCGCAACAATTCGAATCTGTCGAATCAGACAAATCACGAACAACTTGAACTACTTCGCATCAAGTAATCATAATTATGTAAAGATTCGTTATCTTCAATCATATCATTATGCAAACAACTTTAATTATAGCCGCCGTCATAAAACCTCTTGCAACACTGCTAGCAACAGCAACAGTGTTGCAAAAGTGCGACAGATCGTTGGGCATACTAGTCCAAAGTTCATACGAAAAGTGTGCATATTGGCAGCCCAAGACTTGAAAGTTTATATCTGAAAATAAATACAGCTGTGTTCACAAAAATAGTAGTGCGACTGCATAGTTATTATAATAGGATTAGCATTTGTCTTTATTAAGTGCGATTCTTGTTGGGCTCCAAGCTAGGGAACATGCGAGCTTCAGGGCTTGAGAAAGAAAGTCTCAAAATGTAGTCGTTCAAAAAAATAGTAGTGGCTACTAAAAAAGGGGGAAAATGTATTTAACTTTAATCCAATTGCATATATTAAGTTCTACACATGTCTTATGCTCTAATAGCTAGTTGTAAATGGATTATTTTTAATCACGCCTTGTCACCCGGCTTGATATGACTTCGAGCTTTTCTGAAACGCAAGGCGACTCGTACATACATATTTGTCTGACCTCAACTGTATATGCCTTCGCCTACTGGGATCGTGGCACATCCAGCTACCACATTCATAGAGCTGAAATCAGAAAGCTTTCTCAAGCTTAGCAAAGTCAACCTACTCGACCAGACAGAAGTATATTTGTTCAATGATAGTTGGAGTGAGCGGGTGTTGTGCAGTCGGCTACACCCGATGGCAGCATTCTTACTTATCTTCGTTCGATTACAATTCAAATTTTGATTTTCACACATTTCGGTGTATTGCCGCCGCCTCTGCCGCAACACCCGACGCGCGCCGCGCCGCCTCTTTATTTGCATACGAACGCTCGGCGCTTATTCGTTTAGTATTCGTACATTCATTTAGTATTCGTATATTTGTATTTGGGCTTTAGTAGCACTCGTTGCTGTTGTTGTAGGTATTTTTTTAAATTTTGTTTCTTGACACTTTCACTTTTCTCATTAAAATATGAGACCGGGCCGAGACTGGTTTTTTTTTCCAGCTGACAGGCAATATTACAATGCGTTAACGAATATACGAATGTGCGAATGTGAATCCGAATCTGACCCTATAACATATATAGAGACATGTCGTATGACATTTGACATATGTACATATCCCATAACTTTGTCTCTCTCTCTCTCGCTGTCAGTGAATACAGCTGACTTGTGGCTAACCAGTAAGCAGTATCTCTGTCTCTCTCTCTCTCTCTCTCTCTCTCTCTCTCTCTATAGTTGACCAGCAATTATCCATGTAATGTTTCTCTATATGTCTCACTCTCTCTCTCTCCTCATCATTCCCTACCTATCTGCCTCTCTCTCTCTCTCTTCCTGTCTTTCGGTTTCTCCTTTCAAGTATTTTGAGTATTCATATACATATCATTCATATATTCATGTATTCATATCATATCATCTACACGTAGAGGATATCTGCAAGTCGCGTTATCTTCATGAAAATACTTTGTTTTCGAATTGTGTCAATCTTTATGAGTGCTCGAAACCCAATCAATGCATCTCAACTCTTTGCTTCGAAAATGGACAGAAACCTGTTTCCATTTTCGATCTGAGACTCGATGAATTCTTTTTCGCTTCTGCTTCTTCCTCATCCTCTGCGGCTTCTCGTGCCTCTGCTTCTGGTCGCATCTTCCGAAAATGCAGTTTGTTCGCCCTTCATCCACGTATGTACACCTCTCCATATTACCCAGCTCATAATTATGGAGAATTCCAGTCGTGCCTGCAGTTTTTGGCAGTTTTGGGATACCCTGTGCCCAGCAGCAAATGGGGTATGATGATGCTAAACGTATGCATGTAACGAGTTTAGGTGATCTGTATTATACCTAGATTGTAGTTGAGTCTCTAGACTGAGACCTAGACTTGTTTTATTTTTGGCATAACTCGAAGACTCTTAGAGCTACGTACAGCAAATTTGGTATAGAGACGCTCATATAGTATATATACCTATTCAATAAATCCTTTCCTGGATAGACATTTGTGAGCCTGAAAAATGAAGCCACGTGAACAGTTTTCAGCTCAGTCGATGCATATCTAGCGGGACTTTAGGCCACTGACTGCAGGGTATTGTCAGTTCCAGTAAATGCAGTTAATTTCTTTTCAGATCTTCAAAAACTGGTTTTTCGAAACAGCACCGCGATAACGGTAAAGCTAAGGCAGCGCCAAAAAGCATTGTGGCCAAAACGTATTTTCCCAACTTTTCATGTTATTTCGCCTTTTTGTGGAAAATTGAAAAAGCATTTGCACGACATTTGGAGATTTTTTGTATTACACAATGGGATTTCGAAGAAACAAAGAGAGAGAGAGAGAGGGGGGGGGGGGGAGAGAGAGGAAGAGGGAGAGGAGGGAGCGACAACTTGCTGTCTGTTGTTTGCGAACTGGAATCGAGGCTAAAATGGTAACTGAAGCTGTAACTGCATCACGTTCAGTCACAAGTGTATGTGTGAGTGAGTGTGTGAGTGTGTGTGTAAATGGGTCAACAGCAGCCGAAACCGTCGCCACAAATTAATTTTTCGAACAGAAATCTAAAATTCCCCTTCCTACTTTATAGATTAGATTAATGATCGGAATGTGAGCTTAAGCAGCTTAATTAGCAGTTTATTCATTTGTCACGGTATTCACGAAGACTGAGTGAATGAATGAATGAATGCCCTTTGAACGTTTGATTGATCTGTGTCTAATGATGTGACTAAAGTTGGTTAATTCATAGATACTTAATCACTTATTCATTTATGCTTGAGCTTCCTTTGAATAGTTTGACTACGATTCATAATGATTCATTCATTCTTTGTCTTTATTTGGATTTTGATTCATATTCAAAGTATTTGCTTAGTTATCCATGTAAGTTCATTAGATTATCTGACTTTCTTATTCATTGTGGCATTCATTCATTCCCACACAGTATTCAAGTATTCATTTGCTTTTTATTTATCAATTCTTAGCTTGCATTCAGTCAGCATTCGAAGTATTCACTCCTATCTCATCTCGCTCATCTCTACAACTTCCTTCCTGCTATTCACGTGTTCATTCACTTCCTTGCGTATTCAAATTATTCACTCATTCGTTTATTTATTCAATCGCATTTGAGTTCATTTTTTTTTTTTGCTTCACTCTTTCTTTTTTCTTTCCCATTTCGGTTTTTTTTTTTGCGGCCAACTTTTGCAACAGCAGCATAACATAAAACAACAACAATAGCGACAACGACATTCGTTTGTTAACAAAATGCTTATTACAACATCGCCGATGACGCAGGGCTTTTTCTTCCACTGTCCAGCAGAAGCAGCAGCAGTAGCCGTCGTCGTCGTCGCTCTCTCTTTGTGTCGCTCTCTTTTGCTTTTATATACTCACTCACTCTCGCTCTCATTTATTTTGTTTGATTTGTGTGTGTGTGTGTTGTCTCTGCTGCAGCACTTTCGTTGCGCTTGCTCAGCTAACGGTAAAAATTTTGCACTGCCTGCGCTCACTTGCGCTTTCAAGCGGTCGACGGCGGCTGCGCTGCTGACGTTAACGCCTGAGCCTATGTTGGCTGAGATTAGCGCAGTTGTTACTACGTTTTGGGCTCTCGTGCTGCCGCTGCGCCACGACGCTGCTGCTGCGCTGCCACTGTGAGTTTTTGGGCTGCGTTTTTGAAATTGTTAGCATATTTTTACAGCTGGCCAAGACGCGCAGCCACAATTCGTTGACGTGCGTTCATGCCAAGCGGTCGTCGCTTGTCGCAGCTCCCAATAGTAACCAAAATCACACGGCAGTCGAGTGCGAACACTGAGCCCACCCCCCACACTCGCCAGCCTTAAAGCCCCGTCTCGCTCGCACCAGGGCTCGCGTGTGCTCAACGAAAGTAAAAGTGACAACAACAGCAACACCAACAGAAATTATCGAAAAAGAAATACGAAACAAAAAGCAACGACTGAGAAATTCTAACGGTTTTTAAAAAGCAAAGCAACGCTCGGAGCAGCGCTTATTACACAACTGCCATCCAAAAGTGAAGAAGAGAAGAAAAGGGCAAGCAAAAGCAGAAGCCAAAGCCGAAGCCGAAGTTTTTTTTATGTGCTTTCTTGTGTGATAATTAAAGCTCGTTTTTTTCATCGTCCGCTGCGTGAAAATGACTTAAGCAAAGTGTTTGCAAAGAAATTGACCAAAAAAAAAATATATAAAAAATAAATAAAAATTATTAAAAAACGAAAACAAACGACACAGATTTTGGAACTTAATATATATTTTTGGAATTTCTTTTACACACACACGCACATACAGATTTTTTTCGATATATTTTTTTTGAGTGAAAGTGAAGCAGGGCAGGGCGAACGTGCCCCATCAATTTGTGCGATATTTTTTTTGTTTTTTTTTTTTCTTCTCATTTAAATCATGCGCATACAACGCATGCTGCCGCTGCCGCTGCCGTTGCTGTTGCTAGCGCTGGCAGCGAGCGTCACGCTGGCGGCCATTGACAGCAAGGACAACAAGTCCTCGCCTATCATCAGCCCCGATCAGCACAATGTCATCAACTTGAGCCTACAAACGGAAACTAACAATAACAACATCAATGGGAACAGAAGCAGCAGCAGCGACACCAACGTAAACTTCGACCTGACGCGCAGGCAACGACTTCGCGATGCACTCAATGTCTTCGATCTGTCGCTGCTAGCGCCGCAGTGGCCACGCCTCGAAGCCACACGCATGCTGAGCGTCAACTGCACAAAAGATATGCGCAGCTATCTGCACGGCCTGACCGATGCCACAATGTGGGCTGTCAAAAGTAAGTACAAGCGCATTAAGTGAGAACAGATGCGACATTACAAGTGCAAGTGCAAATGGGAACAGTCATTGGCTGCGTTCGCTATTAATTTTGAGAGAACAGCAGAACTTTAATGTGATTCAATGTGACAGTGATTCCAATTGGAAGTTATGGAAGTTGTGTAACAGCAGTAAATAGGACTAGTATGTATCCGTTAGGAAATGGGAACAGCTAATTGGCTGCTGATAAAGAGGAAAATAATTGTTGTAATTGAGATTGCCAAGGAAAATCATCCAGGAACTATTGTAAATATGTAAATAAAAAATATGTAAATATGTATGTAATATGTAAATTTGATATAAGATATCTTGTATTGATGCTATCAAAGAGAAAGTCTAATATTTTCATTATGATAAATTAGGGAAGGCAATATAATTCTAGGCACAGTTCATGATAGATAGGACGAAAAATTACCATATACAAATATCTTTCTCATTCGTTTGCTATATTCAACCTTAGCGCAACCCAATCTCAACAAGTTACTTTTGGATCACACATATTTCACTTCAAGCAGCTAGTTCAAGCTGACAAATATTCCCATTGGGAAATCTATAAACATCAAAACTATCGAGCATTATCCATTAGCTGAGCAATCGAGCAAAGTGCCAAATCGTATTCGATTAACATTTATGCATTGATCGGTTTTTCAGATTCATGTATTAAGTTATTTATATAAACTTTATGGCTGACAGTTATTAGTGTTTGATTGCTGTTGCTGTTGCTGCTGCTGCTGCTGTTGCTGGTTGACTTGGCTTAGTGCATGTGAACGTGTCGTTTAGTTTAGCGCATTCTCCACATTTCAAGTTTTTCGGATCTGCATAGAGTCGGTTTGGTTGGTTTCATGCATGCGCCGCTGGCTGTGGACGCCCAAGGTCGCAATTAGTTCTTGCCCGACTACAACAACTTGCAACCAGCAACAACAACAGCAACTCAATTGTGCATTTTGATTTGTAGTTTAGTTTAGTTGTTATGCTCGCTCAGGCAGGTGACAGAAAAGTATATTCCGTGCGTTTGTCTGTCTAGAGACTTTAACCTGTTGAGCTATTTGCGATGCATCAACTGGGAGGCGTGGCATGTCGGGCACAGTTGACCTTCGCTATAGGTTGATTGAAAATCGAGTATTGCAGCTGTGGCTTACAGTTGATCTCGGCTGGAAACTAAAGCATAATATGGGAAAGAGACTTGTCACAAAGCTGCTCAATAGATCCATTGCTATTTATATATAAGACGACTAGGCAATCCAAACTGTGTCGACCTACGCCCACAGCTGCACCCTATTAAGATATTGCACTGCCCTTGTTTGTCGACTCGAATTCGATAAATTGGATTTGTTTTTTGGACCGTGAACGAGTATTATGCAGTCTGGTTAAGGCGAACGTCCTTGTTGTTGTTTTTGTTGCTGTTGCTTCGATTCGATTTGCTTAGTAATTTACATTTTCAGTTTTCGGTTTTCGGTTTTCGGTTTTCGGCTTTTTGGCAAATCGTTTGGTCATTATGTCAGCCTGAACAATAGCCCCCTGTAACTGTAAGTGGATATTGCGCATAATGCAACACGGCATATCATATCACTTTTTTGGGGGCAACGCGCATGCGCATGCGCGTTCACATTCACGTTCACTCCTGTCAAAGAGTTAACCAACAGTTGAACTGGCTGTCTAACTAGTTTGCGTCACGCTCATGTTCTCTGTCTGTCTGTCAAAGTTGAGTGGGCAGTTCATCCAACTGTTAAGTATTCTGTTATTTATGGCTAATGGGATGCTCGCGCCAGTGTTGCCACCTGGCCGAATGCACTCTGAAAAAGCTTGGGCATAGACCAAAGTATTTGGCATTTGCTCAGATTTGGTTAACATTTATTATTTGGCGCTGTCACCAGAAATTTAACTAAACATCAATTAACTTCTGCGACGTTAGATTGGACAGTTATTTGGACGTTGCCACCTAGTTGAACAGTTGATGACTGCCCAAATTATGTTCCTTGAATTCAATTGAATAGAGACTTAAATGAACTTCGACATGCAAGTTAGTTCATTGACAGTCAGTTGAGCTTAGTGATGTTGCCAGCTTGGGGAAAATGATAACATATGACCCCACTAAGCTGAATTTGTGTGTCTGGAATTCATTGCCAAGATTTTAATATATAACATGAACTTTAACAGGTACCTGGTAAGTTGGTTAGCTACCTCTGCTGTCTGCAGCTTCTTTAATTAAATCAAATGCAATTTACATGTTAGCTATCTAACATGAACTTAGTCTATAGCTGGTAAACATTTAACGTGAACTTTAACAGGTACATGGCAAATCACTTAAAAGAAACCAAATTCAATTCATATGAAAAGTAATTTTGCTTGATAACTACAACTAGCTGTCAAGTAGTTAACATGCACTTTAACAGGTACATGGTAAACACAATGCACAGCCTGACAACAGCTGCAAATTCAGCTTCAGCTTGTTGCAAGGCAAAACCAAATGATGAATAAATGTTGTGCGACGAGTTTTTGGGTTTTTTATGGTTTCTCTTGAATTTGTTGGATTTGGTTGCGCCAGCGATTGGAGTGCATGCCACGCCCCCTCCATTGGCTGCCGCAGTGACCAACTGACCAACTGGCCAACCGAGTGACTGACTGACTGACTGACTGACGGAGCGAGCCAGTCCGAATCCGAGTTCGACTGACCAACTGACAAGAGTGAATGTGAGTGTGTCTTTCTGTTGGTTATGCAATCAATTAACACGAAAACACATTCAAGACGAGACGCAAAATGAAAGAGAAAAACAACAGCAACAACAACAACAACAGCAACAGTATTTTAGTTGCTTTCAAAGTTTCACTGACTAGCAAGTAAGAGTGCTCTATTTAGTAGGGAGTGAACGACTAGCAACTACCGCGAACTTCGTCAAAGATAGAAAAAGAGAGAGAGAGGTGAGAAAGAGAGAGAGCAGCGAAAAGGAATAAATTTAGAAATGCAGTAAAGAACAGAGACGAGTAGAGGAGCGAGAAGAACGATTCAGAAGAGAAAAGACGAGCAATAATTGAAAGAGAAGAGAAAGAGGAATTAGTGAAAGAATGGAAGAAAAGAGAAGAGAATATAATTAAAGGGTAAGAAATAAAAGGGATACAAGAGAGAGAGAGAGAGAGAGAGAGAGAGAGAGAAGAAGAAGTTTTATATCGATCCTAATCGATTTGATGACGATGACCTAAAATCGTATAGCTAGAGTTGATACCATTGATACTATTGATAGATTCGCGTATGCAATGTAAAGTCTCTAAGTCCAGCAAGTCTGCTGCTCAATACTTACAAGGTATTCGCGCTTAGTTGCTTATTATATGTACAAACAGTTTGTGTTTTATTTATTCTTTTGATATTCTCTATTCGCTCTTCATACTCCTAACCACATTCATTGGCTTTAACTAGCTTTAATTGTGCGCTAAGCGTTTTTCTGTTTTGTTAACTACTTTTGCCTTTGATCACGTCATAGTCGATGTCTCGGAAAGAGACTTAAAAGCCAAGACCAGCCTCAAATGGCCAAGATCAATGGCCAATCATGCAGGTCGCATTGCTCCGATACCTTTACTTCACCCCTCCGGCTGCAATAGACTTTATCTTTGTGCTCGTAGTGCAATACAGGTCAAGGCTTAATGCAGTTCGTGAACTAGTTCGAAATTCCTATTCTTATACCACTACGAATTCAGCTTAAGCTTGCAAATTAGTCGAAGCCAATAATCAGTCGGTTCATAGGTCAGAAAGTTGTTTGAACCTCATTCAGGTTTTTCATTACTTAACTAGTTGCAAAGAACTTCTCTACATTGCTAAGCTACATATGGAGCGGCTTTTTGTTAGAGTTATGGTTCAGACACGCTGCAAAATAAATAATCAACAACTCGAACCAAGAACTTGGCAATCGTTGCTCGCTTTTCCTTTACATTTATAACAACTTTGATTAACTGTTATGCATTTCAATTTAAATTGAAATTCGAATGAATTTTGTATTATGCAAACTTTACTTTGAGGGATGATGGGATGAGCATGAATACAGCCATCGTTGCTTACTTTAAGCCAACACCAGGAAATATTCATAGTGCCGTTTTAACTGAATTAAATAAGCCAATTTGTATTTTTTCCTTGGCTTAAGTCTTGGCAAATGTTGCCCAATATCTGGCTTATATCAATCCAATGCCAAGAATTTGTATATCATATGATGTTTGTACACTATCTATATAAATATATCTCTAAATACATATCTCTAGCATCTATATACACATCTTCATCTATATACGATGTCATGCTAAGTACTTCTATAGGTTACAGAGGGGTGTATAAGCTATATCTACATAGATACAATGTCAACTTGTTTCGCGCACTTGCATACTCTCAGCATGTTTTGTCTTCGCCTTTTTGGTTAACGTTCTGAGTTGTTGCTTTTGGTGGCAACTACGCTCCGTTGCCTTTTGGCAGTTTGTTGAAATCAATTGGCCACCAGCTTGGACCCCTGCAGCTCCCCCCTCCCCCTGTCCACTCTATGCACTCCCCACCCTCCTCTCGTTGCATTTTAAAGCTGTTTTGTTAGCTCGACTTGGCTACGACTTGGATGAAGGCCAATTGCTTGGCTAGACACGGTTTAGCTTGAGTTGGCTTGGCTGGTTCTGGGCCATGGCATGCGCACAAATCCTGGCAATGAAATGCAGTTGCTCTCTTTTCTAGCTGTTGCTGTGGCTTTTGCCGCTGTTGCATGTTTGGCCAAGGCTTTTGTGGAAACAAACGCAAACAAAAAGTGCGAGCAAAAAAGCAAATATTTGCTTTGACTGAGCATAAGTCGATTTAGACTGTGGCTGATTATATGTGTGCTTATATAAATCTAAGTTTGGTTACATATATATGAAGTGTTTGTATGTGTGTTGTGCAAACTTCCTGCTGGCTGCTTTCGCATCAGTTTTTGCTTTTTTTTCCTGGAAGTTTGTCTTCAC